ATGATGTCGAGATGCCAGTAGATATGGCTCCATCAGATAAATCGCGAGTGCGTGTATAACCAAGTGATTGACTGCGCTGGATCAGATGATGTCGAGATGCCAGTAGATATGGCTCCATCAGATAAATCGCGAGTGCCTGTATAAACAAGTGATTGACTACGCTGAAGTGCCGCATTTTGAAATTGGAATTAAAGCCCGGTTGGATTGTCTGGAAAAGATGATTTACTCCAAAATTGGCACTCCTAATTACTCCACCAATTAATCGATTTTTCCGATAATTGTTAGCTAGCGCTGTAGTTGTTGACAACCGCTACGACGCCAGCTAACAATTATTGGAAAAAACGATTAATTTCCGGAGTAACTAGCAGTCCAAATTTCGGAGTAAATTATATTTTCCAGATAATCCATCCGGGCCTTAGATTTACGTCGTATTTTATATCTCCGCCCAAAACGGTAAGTACGATATTCAATTATTATTGAAGTAAATCAAGTAAACATCACTGACAAATTTGTGAAGATATTTTTAATAACTGTTAATTCGTTGAAACACAAATAATCAGCAGTCGGAGGCTTTGAAATCAGCTTGCCAAAAATTCCAGTCAGTGGAATCTGAGGCATCGAAGAGCTCAGAGTTATTAAAAGGGAAGCTGGAGGGATTGAAGGATAAAGTACAGGGAGTCATCGACGAGGCAGGAAAAACGGAGCTGGGTAAAAAAGCTGGGCAATTGGGTAAGGAAATTTCAAAATCCAGGTAAATGCACCATAGCCTAATGCTCGTAGTATTTACCGATTAAATACAATTTTAAAAGCCAATGTCTTGTGTGTCTTTTCAGTGTGTGGTAATAATTTTTAAATTCGACCCAGAGTGGATAGTGCACTTATTGAAAACTACTATAAATTTATTTCTGTATGCAGGTCATGTAAAAGTCATATCATTCCATAATATTCCTGATGAAACATTTTTATATTTCAGTTTTTACTAATGAGGAGGGCTGAAGGTATTTATAACTCAAATAAAAATTCTATATAAACCCATAAATAAATGTTTTTTGTGTTCGATCAGATTGATTCAATTCGTAATTTATCATTTATCAGTGTGCGTGACGTAAAAAAATAATAATACAAAAAGGTATGCGAATAACTAGAAAAGTTCGATCGAATGAGAATAAATCATTCGTTATCAGAACCACTGTCGTCAGAATTAGTTCTGCCTCGAATTGTTTTTGATTTCTTGTTTCCAACGAGTAGATTAGACGGCTTCTTTCCCTTTTCTGGTGGATTCAACAGGTCACCAGTGTATGATATTGCACCAGACTGGGCTATTCTCCACTCCATCATCTCTGTGGAAAAATCGTCGCAATTTCCGAGGTCCGTGAAGCCTACGATGTAGTCTTTTGTCTTGCTGTCTGAGATGAGGGCTATCGTGGGAATTATTTTGATCCTCAAACGCTCCATGACCATGACGAAGGCACATTATGGAAATAGCTTTAAGAAAACTTGGGCGGCGAAAGGTGTTCACTGCTGGATAACCCCCTGTCGACGATTTCGGTTTCCTCTTAAGCTCTCGCATTTTGTCTACCTTCACCTTTCGTAAATGCATTATCTTTCTTCGGGTCAAGAATTGATCCAGGAATTCATCGACTTCTGTATCTCCCGATAAGAATTTCGCAGCTATTTTCTGGGCACGAAGGAGAATGCAAATAAAAATCACAATTATCATTTGATAATTGTTTATATAATTGCTTAAATAATTACTTCCGATTCTTCTTCAATTTCCGCAGCAGCTCACAGCTCACAGCCTTCAGACTTCGGCCAGAGAACGATTTCCATATCGGACAACCGCCTTATTATCCATTTATTGTCATCGATTAAATAATTCACCTGTTTTATGTCATTGACAACTTCCTCGAATCTTCCATCATCGTTCAATATTTCTCCCAAATCAGTGTTGCTGAGATGATTCAACATCGACAATGCAGCTAGAATATCCATAGAAATTGATGAATTTATTATTAATTCATTATTATTTATTATTAATAAATGTCATGGTTCTTTTTTGATTCCAGGTTTTTCATCCATTGATTTAGTGGATTAGGCCTACAGGGGATACCACGTTAAAAAAAACGCGTCAAGGACTCTACCTCTTGGGTGACGTGGAAAGAGTTTTACTTTAAGTCAATACTGGATAAGAATCTCTCTTATTGAAATAATCATATACCCATTGTTCATTTATGCTGTTGTAGACAATTTTTATGCCATACCTTTTTTTTCATGTCAATTTGAAAGAAAAAAAATTAAACGACTCGATTGGCATTTAAATGTAAACGCCAGAAATCGCGGAATTGTGGGAACGAAACGCACATGAGGAGAAGGCGTTATACAGCGCTACGTACGACGTCTGAAGGTACTTGTCCCCTGTTTTGGTGTCGGCGACATCAAAGCTTGGCAATACCCCCTTCCATCATACCTTAGGGGGGTGTCCATCAAGTCGACGGGGTGAATTTTATTTTGTGCGGTATGAATGCTTTTTGTTTTTTATTTGTTTAAAGCCAGATTAATGGTTGCTAACTGTGGTTCAGAAAATCAGAAAACTCGTTCTTATCGTGTTTTTTTGAATATCAAAAATAAAATAATTATAAAACTGATTTAAGCATTGAGCTCTCATTTTTCACTTGAAATGGAATATGGGAAAATGAGACTTTCGGTGATAAGTTCAGTCATCAAGTAAATAAGATAAAATAATATTAGATTAGATTTTGATTTTTCAAGTTAAGTGCATGATTTGAAAGTTCGGAATGATCACTTCAAGGAATGTTGAGAGAAAGCCGTGGAGATTGACAGGAATAAGAATTTTTAAGTTGTGAAAATGTTGGGAACAAAACGGAGAACTTTTAGAAGACATTTGGGAGAAGCACTCGTTGCTGGATTGTGTCTAGTCCTGTTCTGTGAATATATTATTTATTATGTAGTACTTGTTCAGTGTGGATGGGCCTCGCTCGACCCTCAGAGGGCAGATTCAACGATAGCATCTCCAAAGGCAGAGGAAAGACCTGTGAGGGCAATGTTTCTTGCTGACACCCACTTGTTGGGTTCACGAAAGGGCCATTGGTTCGACAAACTCCGAAGGGAATGGCAGATGCACAGGGCCTTCCAGACAGTCATGGTCCTTCACAAACCCGATGTTATTTTCATATTAGGGGATGTTTTCGATGAAGGGCTGTGGTGTGGCTCCTCGGAATTCGAGAAATACGTCCAGAGGTTCAACTCCCTCTTCGCAGTGCCTCCGAATTCATATCTGTACGTAGTAGCTGGAAATCATGACATGGGCTTTCACTACGTGATAACTCCCTACCTGAACCAGAGATTCATGAATGCGATGAGAGCTCCGAGTGTCAAGAGAGTCACCATCCGAGGGAATCATTTTGTTCTGGTCAATAGCATGGCCATGGAGGGAGACGGTTGCTTTCTTTGCAGACCAGCTGAAGTAGCTCTCAACAAAATAGCTAAACATCTCAAATGTGCCAGAGGAATTGGGGAGTGTTCCATCCACCAATCCATCAAGAGGTACAGCAGGCCAGTGCTCCTGCAGCACTATCCCATGTACAGGGAGTCAGATTCCCTGTGCTCTGAGCCTGATCAGGCTCCTGAGGAGATCAAGGACATCAAGTTCAGGGAGAGGTGGGAGTGTCTCTCGAGAGAGGCCTCCGAACAACTCCTCGATATCCTCAATCCTCGGTTGGTCGTCGATGGTCACACTCATCATGGATGCAGGAAAATGCATGGAGAGGACACCCTCGAGGTCACTATCCCGTCGTTTAGTTGGAGGAATAAGAATAATCCTTCCTTTCTGATGGTATTAACGTTTTGTCATGGTTTGGGTTTAGCTGAATTTTTGAGAGATATCATTAATTTAGGGGTGTGTTTTTTTCGGACTAAAGCGGTTTCTATTGCAGGGTGTCTTCACTCCAGATAACTACGCTCTCTCAAAATGCTACATGCCAGAAGAATCAACGGTGATATCCATCTATACCTTCGGTGGAATTTTCATCGTTCTTTATTTACTCATCAAAGCAAAACAGAGGATGAATCGTCACAATTTCTTAAAACTCCACTGACACACATTTTATTGATATGGCTTTGATCCTCGATTATTAATTCAATTTCATGAGATTCGTACGAAATTCCATTTACATTTATACAGAATTATTTCGTCGGAACTGTATGGAGAATTGGACGTTCATTGACGAGCATTCGACAGAATGCCACTGTACATAAAATAAATAATTGTTAATGAAGATATTGTAACTCTAAATACTTTTTATTTTCATTCATTCGATGATTGAATGTGGCTTACACGACTCGAGTTATGGGAGTAGTAAGTACTCGATGCAGACATGTTATTCTTCTCTCCCAGGAATTTAATTTCCCAGTGATAAAGTGCAATTTCAACTTGAAATTCTCAGATTTAAATAGCCAAAAATTCCACTATTTTACCCCACATTCTCTCAGCTCCAATTAATCAGAGCATCGCACACATACAAATATTTATTCATAAAAAATTATTATTTTACAAAATATAATGTTAACGAAGTCCCTACACTCTGGCATTCGATAGTCTAATATAATCAGCTTATCTCCCTTATATGATTTTACCTCTTTCATTTGGAATAGTCCCAGTCACCGAAAAAATAAATAGTCCGGCTGGATTAACTCTGGCCTCCATTCTCAACACGATTGACGATAGAGATTGATTAAAAAATAAAAAAAGGAATAGGAATCTTACAAGAATTCTCACTTGATGGTCTTTTTGACTAGTCGATTTTCACAGCTGCGTAGATCTTACGAATAAATGCGTAAGCAGCGAAAAAACCGATAGTTCCAGTCAATAGCCAGAATGTAAGCACCATGAGTGTTGTGTAACCGAAGTACATAAGTGTTGGCACTAACTCGGTTATTTCAAGTTTCGTCATGAAGTAGAATACTGAATATGCCAGCACGTACACTGCGGAACCCCCACCCACTATGAAACTCCTCCACCACCATCTGTAATCCTGCAAAATAACAAATATATCTTTATTAGAACCGTCCTATTTTATTCAAACTTTATTGAATTTCTCCAATTGAATAATTCTAGAAGGGAGTCCAGGGGGATTAAGAAAAAATGTTTATTACCTCTCCACACAACTGGAAATAAACCATAACGATTGATATCTGTGAACACGATATGACGAGAATGCAGAAGACCAAAAAGAGGAAGCCAAACAGGTAATAAAACTGATTCTCCCAGAGTGCATTCAGAATGAAAAATAATTCGATGAAAACAGCCCCAAACGGCAGAATCCCTGCCATCAATGTACTGAAATGAACGAGAAAATTTCGTATTTTTATATCACACACCATAAAAAATATATTTTCTATCGATTTTTCATGGCTTTATTCTACTCACCATAATATTGGATTCATGTACCACAATTGATCGGGCACTTGTCTGGGAATCTGATTCGTCCTAACAGGATGCGTAAACGGTTGTTTTCTGTAGCCAAAGAAATATCCGAGATAAACCAGAGGCAGGGAAATGCCAAACCAGAGACAGAGGAGTGCCAACATTGTGGTGAAAGGGACAGCCCCAGAGCTGTGTTTTCCCCAGATGAAGAAATTCAAGAAGAAGCAGGTGGTGAAAACAATGCCAGGGTAGAGCGTGGCAGTGAGAAATGCCGCTCTCTTCCACTCCCTGCCCCTCATGGTTTTGTAAAGTCTAGCTGAGAAGTAACCAGCGACGAGCCCTGAGAAAACGTACAGGAAAATGGCACAGGTGGCAAGAGCCCCCCGACTCGCAGGGGAGAGCATCCCCAACATGGCAAAGAATATCGTAATTAGAGCCATGAAAAATATCTGGATTCCACTGCCAATGACAGCTGCAAAAAACCTGGAGTTTGTGGGGGGTCGAAAGACATCTCCATGCACCAGTTTCCAGCCAGTCTCCTCGATGGACTCGTCGAGCCCAGCCAGGGAATCACTCTCCCCAGCGTTGTAACGAGCAATATCCCTTCGCAGGGTCCTCACCATAATCATCGTGAGAATTCCGGAGAGGAAAACCACCACTGCCACCGAATTTATTATCGAGAACCAGTGAATCTCAACGTCACTCATGCCCAGATAAATATCCCATCTGCTTGCCCAACTGACGTCTGATTCTGTCCACTCGACGGAGTACAGGAAAAGGAGTCGCGTGCCCCTGGGGTTAACGAACTGGGGATTGATTTGCCCTGGTGGCTGACAGTTGTTCCCCTCGAACTCCAGTTGAGTGTAGTCCACTGATCGTGCTTCCACCTCAAAGCCCACCACTCGAAATTCATTTTCTCCATGTTTATGATAACTCAGCTTGAGTTTAAGATAATTATTAATATAAACTTGGTCACCCAGGACCTCCCCAAGCCTGTACCCATGATAAACAATGACACTGTCGTCCTTATGAATCTTCTTGGTAGCCGCTGGGAGATTATCAATGAGCAGATGAACAGTGTACTCGTGTTTAATTCTCTCAATGACTCGTTTGGATTCGTCCTCAGTCCACGTCATGGGATTCTTCGGTGAGTGGCAGAGAAGTCTGCAGGGGATGTTCTCCCCCATTGCTACCTCGTATGAGGTTGTGACAATTCGATCGCCTCGGAGGACTTCACCCAGGTTCTCCGATTTGTAAACGAAAGTTCCATTCTTTGGTAAACAGAAGGGAAGTGAGTAGTATTCATACGGCAATTGTGTGTGGGTACTGGTCATCTTGACAGCTTTTACGTCAATCTTCTGGGACCTCTTGAATTCCACTGGAGCTACTCCAGGCACGTAGAATCCATGGGTCAATGACAGGAGCAGTGACAGAACGACACCAGTCCATTTTAGTCTCTCCTGGAATTTATTGTTGATTGAAATAACGTTTTATGGAGTATTTTAGGGCTGTTTGAGGTCTTGAGTGGGCGAATCAACAAGTGACAGCGAAATTTCTGGGCTCGTGGGAGTTGTCAAAGAGGAGAATCGTTGTATAACCAACAATATGAGGTTGACAACTGAAGGGATCGTTCAAAGGGTTGTCCAGAGGCTATTGTTGAGGGTTTTGCGGGTGATTTCGGTATGTTACTTGTTTTGGAGAAAGTGGAGGTTTTTCAGGAATTTTCACTCAATTTTTGGGGCGATTCTGGGATATTTACCATTGTGTGACGTTATTTGCTACTAAAAGGCGCCACGCCGATTATTTTTCTCTGTATTGTAACAGGTCGAGCTCAATTCAACACTCATGCGGATGAGCCACTGCGAAACTATTTCTACATTCGGCATTTATGCTCACGGGGTAAGGAAGACTAATTTTAGATTAAAAAACCCTTCTTTATCTGCTCAGCAGTGTTTTTGTGCGATCTGAATAAAATTTGATGTCACCATAACATGAATTTGATTCCCCCAAAAATTCCAGGCAGAACAAAAATCTCCAAATAACGTGGGAGTTTTTTTTTATTTCTCTTATTTACATTGAACGAATTGATTTATGTTTATCAAATCGGCGCTGACTGGCAAACTGAGTGTTGACATCACAAGCAGGAGGAACAAATTGCAAGTGCAGAATTCAACTCGTGACTTGCTCTGCCCTCATCCCAACAGCATCAATCGATGTCCCGATTATTCAGTAAATTCTATTCAACTTATACAACTACGCTTCATGAGTTTTGGTAATTCTTCTTGATTTTTTATTTTTTTCATTGTTGTTCGATCGCGTCAACCGACGAACGATTCTCATTCTGTATAAAAGTTGAGAGACATTGACTTTTACTTCTTCTTAGGGATGAATGCTAGTTTAGTACTCTTAACGGTCGTCCACTTGTGCCTCTTCATGTAGGTGAGACCGGCTGTCAGGACGGTTAAGACGAACATGGCCTGCAACAAGAAAAGGATTTAATCAATCCTCTCGTTTTCTACAAGACGACTTGATAATTTACCTTAATAAATAGCCTCTTCCTTTCGTCGTACTCGTGATTGGATGTCCACATGAGAAACGTGCTCACATCTTTAGCTATTTGAGACGCACTAGGAGGCGTTCCATCTTCGTATTCAAGGACCTCGTCGTAAATGACCTACGAATCCAAAAAAAAAATTGTAATTGATTTAGTAATCGTAGAACGTGTATAAGCATTCCCCTTAATACTTTTCTTATTAGAAACTTCCAGGACTTTTTCTTAGAAATATGAATGAAAATTTTTGATCGGTGTAACAATTTTTAATCTGAAAGAAAATGCGAGACATTTTTTTGAAGAAAAAAAAATTACCTGTCCCATACCAATCGCACCTCCAGGGAAGTACGGATTGAAATATTGTCCCTCCCTGAGGGGAATACCAGCTGGAGGCTCGCAGTATCCAGTCAAGAGAGAAAACACGTAATTCTGTGATTAAAAAAATATCAATTGAAAATTGTACATTAAGACTTTTGAATAAGCTCCAGGAGGATTTGTAGTTGAGTATTACCTCGCCATTATGTCTTCCATTGACAATATACGAGAGATCTGGTGGGTAAGCACCATTATTGGCTGCACGTGCAGCCTCCTCGTTGGGGTAGGGGCTGGGGACGTAATCCGAGAGTTTACCCGGTCGCATGAAGTATTCCCCGACATCATCTGGCCCATCGCGCACCTGGATCTCCTCGGCGAGGGCCTTAGCCTCGTCCTCCGTGTGTGTTACATCGACGAGATGACGATAGGCTACGAATTGGAGACTGTGACAGGCTGAACACACATTCTTATAAACCTCCCAGCCACGCCTCATGCTGGCATGATCCAGAGAAGCAATGAGCCCATTAAAACTCCATGAGTAATTAGGGGGATGAGCGATCAGTTCAAATGCCTTCACTGAGTTCTCCAGTGTGTAAAGGAGGGCACCAGTGCCACCGACAACTACACCCAGACATGCCGTCATCTACAAATTGTAAATGATCCATTTGTCTTCAGGTAAAAATTAATTAATTGAAGAAAACGATAGGAGGATACATGTCTGTTCAACCTACCACTTTACGGCTCCTAGACCAGTCCCTGACTGTTGAGAATTGACCAGCCTGGAAAAAGTAATTAAAGTAATTACCACAGCCCAATCCTATAGCCAAATGACCACGTGAGGAAAACCATATTGTTAAAAGAATTTGTCCTTATTCGTCAGGTATTATGTTATAAATACGAAACAAGTGACAGTTCTACTAAAATTTTATAGTTTTGGAAAAGTTCAAGCAAGTTTCCTGGAATTTTCAATCCTTCAAAACTCCACGATCGCATGTTCAAAATTTCGTGTATCTACTCCTGAAAAATGAGAATACTCGTTCAACTCGTTTCGTTTTCCCCTCAAGCAGAACTCAGTTTGTAATTTCCCGTCAAATAAATCGATTTGTAAAAAAATTCACCCCACGACTTGGCGAGTGAATAAACAATATTCTACAATAAATAGAAAAAGTTTCTTGTGATCGACGATTGAAAGGGAGTACGACTTGTCAAGTGTTGCCGACAGATACTCCCTGGGTGAAGTGAATCGGAGCAGGATCCACAAAGAACACATAACTATTACATAACACCTGAAAATTTATTAACCGAACTGAATCCTCATGCTCGTCACCCCCGAGCAATACATCCCCTAAAACAGATAAATCCACCCAATAACATTATCGATAATTGTCAAATTAATGTAATAATGTCACACACACATAGCACGACCGATAGGTCCCCAGACAGCAGTCCTGTGGGTATAAGCACCACCCTTGATATATCACTAAAGACTCCCTTGATTATCACCGATAATTAATCACCGATGACCCCCGATTTTTACCCAGTGTTAACCCACCATTTATTGACTCACCTGATTGAATAAACCCGCATTGTTAGGCTTCAAAAGGCCTGATCGACAAATTCTACCGATCGACGCTGCCATCTTGGCCAGAGGTGCAATGTGCAAAGGGTATGAGTCAACATCACAATTATCAATAATTTACCATTTATAAAGCCCAAAAAAATAACGAAAACCTCCCCCAACCCCCTGATTTTATTGCTCTCCGAAAAACCAGCGATATTTCAGTTTAAATATTTTATACATTCCCGTATTCCCAGCAAAATGAGAGTGAAAAGTCTCTCGCATGACTCACACCAAAATAGCCAACATAATTATTTGAATATCGGAAATGAAGAAAAAAAAGCAGCTTCAAATAATTGATAAGTTATTGAAATTATTGGAGTTATTGAAGTAAAAGGTGAAGGATATTGATTGATTGATTTAATTGATTGAATAGTGATCAATTCAATATTTTTATTTGATAGGTTGAAAGGCTTGCGCAAGCTGTGAAAAGTTGGCAACAGTGTCGGCCGAATCTTGGGAGGCCTGAGCAACGGTGTCGGCTTGCTGGCTTTGTCAGATGATGTCGCGTATCCTTTAACATCGCATCAATCGTCGTTAAACTAATATCCAACCAAGATGAGTGCTGGAATGCCAGAGCTGGGCTCGAAGATCAGCCTAATATCGAAGGCGGACATAAGATACGAGGGAAGACTGTTCACCGTTGATCCACACGAGTGCACAATCGCCCTTGCCAATGGTGAGTACCTATTCAATTTTCTCCGTTTCACACTTAAAACGTATTTAACAAATTCAAGATGGAGGTAGAATCGCGGTAGCATCATTCTGCTCCATTTTATTTGGCTGAGACTTACGTTCGTCGGGGTTGTTATTCGGATTATCAGGATGTGGACATTTACTCGGATTTTGTTTCGTCATTCTTTTGGCAATGTTTCGCCAATCGTTCCGGTTGTTTTTTTTTTTATGTTGACCGAGTTCGTTGTCCCGCTTGTTTTCGGGGGGGAAAACAACGGGGGTCAACCGGCAAATATTCTAACGGATTTTCGTTCTTCGGATTATCTCTTTCGTAATAAAAAAAACGAGTAGACAATTTTTGAGGCTTTTTGGGATATTCCTGAGGATTCTAGGATTTTTTGGGAGGTCCTGGAATTTTTTTTTACAGTTTCCCTGAGGATAATTAGCATTTTTTTGAATTTTTGTGGAGGACTTTATGAGAAAATACCTCAAAAATGCGGAATTGGGAGAAGATGAGAGAAATAGGAATAGTTTCTTGGTTGCTTCGGGGATCGAGGAAGTTCTCAATTTGTCTTGAATTTTCTTCCTGTTTATGTTCTTTCTCCTGTGTAAAATCGTTTGCCTTTGATCGACAATGGAATCTCGGGGGGCCCATTGTCTTCACCGATGAATTTGTTTACATCGTTGTCCTTGTCACGAGACAATTGGGAAGACGATAATTCTCCGTTTAGTCTGGTCGCTGTCTTGAATTTAATATAATACGGAGTAAATAACACGGTCGGAGGATTTTCGGGGCAAATAAGGTGGCGATGGTGTAGAAGTATTACCCATTATTCTGGGAAATTGATTTGTTTTTCTTTTTGTGTTTGCAGTACGCTCTTTTGGAACGGAGGACAGGGAGACGCAGTTCGCAGTGGCTCCCCAGAATCAAGTGTATGAGTATATTCTCTTCAGGGGTTCGGATATCAAGGATATTCGAGTTGTCAATAATGTCAACACATTGCCCAATGATCCGGCTATTGTGCAGGTGAATCAATCACTATTCATCTCGGAATTAACGGATTCCAAACAATATTTGTGAATTGATTCACATATTGAATTTAATTTTCTCAAGTCTATTTGGCTCTCCCCACGAAAATTCTTCATTGGGAATTAATTACATATCTTTTATAAGAGAATTGAAATTTCTGAATCCCAAAATTACTATGATTATTAAATTGAGTATTAGTCAATTCATTTTTACAATTCCATTACTCATTTCCATCCATTGGAATTTTCCTTAAACTAGCGACTGTTTCGTGAGGAAGTAATCACTCAAATTTGCCTTTCTGATTTTTCATTTATCTACGAAACAAGTGATTTTACGAGAAAAAAAAAAGCTGAACTTGTTTTTTCTGTGATTATTATAATTTCCGAGGAGTTCATTAATTTCTCCATCATTCTAATGAACTCTTTTGCAACTCCTGTACTCAAATAATATGATACAATTTTTGTATCAGATGACGGTGCAACCGTCGATGGGCCAACAATCCTATCAGCCCCAGCCAGGATATGGACATCCAATGATGCCCCAGATGGGTCCAATGGGGGGTCAGTACGGTGGGCCGTACGGTATGGCGATGGGTGCAATGGGTCCAGTGATGGGAATGCCAGGTGCTGGAAGAGATCCCCGCGCACCCATGAACAAACCCAACAGTGAGTTGGGCCCTGGCCCTGGTGAACCAAGCATCATCAATATCCCCAATTCTCTACCAACGGCCAACGTCAAGCCGTTGACAAAAGATCAATCTCTGGAAGATGGTAAACTGTTTTTGCTACGAAAAACCACCGAAAGTCGAGACATGGGATTAAAAAAAAATACAGGATATCCCACTCGAAGTGCCTGCTACTGCTTCTGACAGCTTATTCATTAATAATCTCACACTTCTGCTTTATTTTTCTCTATTGCAGTAATTCGTATTGCCGCTGCTAAAGGTTTGATACGCTTGAATCCAATCACTTTTTATTTTGGATAACAGCCAATGCCAGAGTTTGATATTTTTGCTTTTGTTCAACGTTTAATTGCCTGATCATTCTAATTATCCTAATCAGCTGGATCCTCTAATTTTCATCAATACTGTCATACCATTAACCGCATGCATCATGCATTTATGAAATTGATAGCAACAACAGTGAAAACTTGAAATACTCATCAATTCAGTAGCAAAGTTGTACACACAGATAAATATACCGATAATTTTTTCTTCTATTTTCTCAAAAACTATCAATTTCATGCTGATGAAATTACCTAAAAAAAGTTCTCATATTTCTTCCTGAAATCGATAGTTTTCTAGCTGAATGGATGTAATAAAAATGATGAAATCTAATTTATCTCACTTTACACTGTTCTACTGAGTTGGTACTCGAGTGTTTCGGATAAATTGGCCAATGTCCAGGGATTAATAAATATCTTAATGATTGATTAGGTGTTTTGGAGATGCTGAGTGGAGCATCGCGATCGACGACTCCCACGTCGTCTCTGCTAAACCGAAAGAGTCCCACGAACGATCAAAGCACTCAGGTCACTCAGCAACGCCAAGCGTCCCAGCAGAATCAGCAGGTAGCTGGTGGCAAAGGGTCAGATAAGTCGACTAACAGGACTGTCCAACCGCCCCACCGAGAGCGTGATACTCACTCGAGAGGCCGCACTGGCAGCGGAATGTCTCAGTACAGTGACTCCAAGAGGGATCAAATGCACCAGGCTGGACAGATGCAACGTCGCAATGTACATACCGGTCAGGGAGGTCCTCGTGGCAATCGTGGTGGCTGGATCCCGCGTGGCAATATTGCACGTGGACGAGGCAGAGGCGGTCGTGGTGGCGTCTTCCGTTCCAATCAACCAGGCAATGCTATAGAAAAGCCCACGAATACACTCACATTCGATAATGATTATGACTTTGAACAAGCCAATACTGAGTTCGAGGAGTTGAGGTGAGAATTTTCGATCTAGTAAATTTGTAATATGTCAATGTTTTCGGATTAATTATGGAATTAGCATGATTTGTGCCGGATTCGTTTCGGTGACAATCTCGAAACGACGAATGTGGATATCATGCGAGAGTAATTGATACGTTATTAAAGCCGTTTTGAAATAAAATTCAATGGTTTACGCTACGTATCTACAGTTGGATATTAAAGCTTTTTTAATACGTGCATAATTTTGTTGACAACGTACTATTGTAATTGTTGCCAATGACATTAACTTATTTGTCTAGATCTCGACTGGCAAAAACCAAGATTGACGCAGGTGCTGAGAACGAGAAGAAAGATGACAGTGGTAACGAAACAGGTGCTGGTGAGAACGAGCAGGAGGAGGAATCGGACGTGGTGCACTACGACAAGTCGAAATCGTTCTTCGACAACATCAGCTGCGAAGCAGTTGAGAGGAGTAAAGGGTCAGTATAAAGTGAAAATAGATATAATCGGTAGTGGAGTGATGAGCTGACATAATTTAAATTTATCATTTCCACAATAATACTCCATAATATTTCCACTTATGTCACTTTATCAATTCGTTGCTGAAATGTGTTTGTCTTGTTTTTTTTTTAATTTTTTTTTCGTTGATGTTTGTTTTTTGTTTGTCGTGTTGACTTACTTGGTCCGGAATCAATCGATTCCATGCTGTCTAATTCCCATTAGAAGATCTCAACGTACGGACTGGAGAATAGAGAGAAAACTCAACTCTGAGACTTTCGGTGTGTCATCAACGAGACGTGGGGGATTCTTCCGTGGACGCGGATACTACCTCAATCGTGGAATGCCTGGGGGTATGTACCGTGGAAACAGTGGTGGACAGATGGGTGGATATCGTGGCAACTACAGGGGACAACGTGGTGGCAACAACGCCAATCGCAAACCCGGACAGAATCAGAATAATGCCAATCAGAATCGTAATAGCAACGAACAGACCAGTCAACCACAGCAGACCAGTCGTCTCATATCTGGCACCGTATAAAAAAAACCACTGGTATCACTCACCAACAATCATTCTCCCCTTACCCGTTAAATAATTTAGATGATGTCGAGGAATTTCCATTATCGAGGGTTTAAAGCAACAGTCGACGAATGTGAAACAATTTATAAGTATTTACCGTAGATTAAGATTTTTACGATATGCGCTTTCATGTCAACAAAAAAAAAACAAATTGAACATAGGATTTTTGAATCAATAACCACCCACTATTGGACTGATTAATGAGAGTTTCGTTTTGAGTGGGAATTCAAAATAATTAATGTCGCGTATTGGTTATCGTTGGGCGATTATATGTCGATATCTGGGGAAGGGATTACATTTCTTGCAGATACATGAACAAATGTTAATGGAGTACAATGAGTTTGGGGAGATGATTATGATAATGAAGTTGAAGTTTTGTCTGCGACTTCAAACTGGCTGTATTTTAAACGTAATCATGGGACATAGATTTGTAAAAAGGGTTCGAGGAAATTGCAGTGAAATTATTTGGATCTGTTAATTGGCTCTCAGTGTTTTCCCTTCACTTCAGTTTTGTGACAAAAGTACTGGAATTGGCATGAAATTAATTGATTTAATGAGAAAGGTTGTACGATGCTGGATTTTTTTTTAATTAATTGGGATTTGCTGGTTTGTATCCGCACAGACGGAAGTCGATGGAATATTTTATTGCCAGAAGGAAAGAGGGGAAACATTGGGAATGATAATTGTAATAATTAACAATGCATACCACGAGTTTAGGGTTTCGTGGTAGATGGAAAGATACGACTAATTATTTGGCGTCGAATTAACAATAATTAGATTGAAGTGTAAAAAAGACGATGAATACCGAAACAAGCTTGAGGAACAGCTTATCGGTGTAAAATGCCTTTTGCGTGGTATATATAATATGTAATAAATGTGAAAATTACGAGATGAAATGGGAAATGAGGAATCTACGATGTTTTGCAGAGAAAAGAGAGAAAATACTGGAAAAAATACAGTGTATCGTAAAATAGTCAATTTTTGGTGGGCGCTTGATGAATAAAATGAATGAAATTTGAAAAAAAAAAAATGTCTCGTTGCCGGAACGACGAAATACCGAAACGAATGAATCTACCTAATTAAAATTAAACAAATCGGTACAATTGTCACATAAATTAATGATTGAGGATAAATTTATTAATCAGCGCGGTCAGAAATAACGAAGATATTCAAATGCAAACGAAGAAAAAATAGTTATTTACTCATGGGAATACGCATTACAATTATTATTGATTATTTACTATTATAATTTCTTTTTTTTTTACAATAATAAATAGGCATGAAGACAGGGGAAGTAAAAGGGTAGGAGGGGCGGGAGGGGGGTGAGATAAAAAAAAATCGCCTGAGCCCAAATAAATAGAATTAGGAGACGATGCGCGATTGATTCTGAAAAATAAAACAGCCTAGAACTTTGATACTTGTTGACCATAAAAATGATTAATCAGGGAAATAAAAAAGGCCAGATGAATTGAACAATTGCGTTGTTAGGTTTTTTATTGTATTTACCGAGGGGTTTATTCTTTTGATCTTACAGAACGTCTGGACTAGCGTGAGTGTGTGCCAGAATTCAGTGAATATGATTGCACAGTGATTATTGTCGTAGACAAGGTAGAAATGAATATGGGAAAAAAATAGGGGGAAAAATGATTAATTAATAATACAAAGTGGTAAATTGTTCGCGGCTGTTATTTTTGTATGGTCCCCTAAATGGGTCCCGTCTCAAATAAGTATATATATATGCATATAATACATGAAACAATGGAGGGAAAGGCGGAGATACAAAACATACACACATGAACGTTCGCTGTTTAGAGGAATTAAGTCAATGGGAAAAAAGTATCAGCTCAGAGTAGCCAAATGAATGATTACCGATGTATGCAGTGAAATCCGTCTTCAGGGGGATGGAGATACGAGTAATAAATGGGAGAACGTACGTTTTATGTTTTTTTTTTCTCTGTCGCATGTAATTTTGCGGTTGAACGCGATTATTCCTGACAATGAATGTGTTTCTTTTGTACAGCGGATATTGTGATTCCCCAATGATGAGAATAATAACGAAATGAAGAAATTAATTAAACTGCTTTCATTTATTCATTTATTCATGTATTTTTTATTCCTTCGATGTGTTTTATATACAAAAATTGCCTTATGATAAATATTTACAATTCGTGCAGTCTCTTCGGTCAGTGCAGGCACAAGAGTAATTCTCCCTCACGCGAGTGTTTTCCACCAGAAAATATTAATACAGACTAGAAATTTTCCATTCTCAACGTTCCATCTTAAGGATAAATTTATTCTTTAAGCGCAACCAGCGAGTCCTGCGGGTAGATTATCACAGATTTCTCGCAACGGACGTCCTCTCTCTTTCTCCACAGTTTCACTGACAACGAAGTTGTTCTTGTATCGTCTCTTCAGGGTTTTGTAATAGGGGGTTGAGATCTCGAAGGGAGTTTTGCCATTTTCCACTGCCCAGATGCTGCCAGAGTCCCCGCACTTGAGAATCGACATCAACCCCTCGGACACGATGAAAGGACTACAAAAAAAATCGAAATCAATTAGCTATTTCAATTCTATTTTTTTTTAAATACACATAGTATTTTTCGTAATAAATTGAAATTATGATTTCTTACGTTTGAATGGGCAGTTGGTCAAGATTCTTGACAAAATCAGCCTTCATGACCCTGGATAGAAGTCGATTGGGGCTGTCGATGGTGAGGGCAGTCTCGGTGAGACCAGGGCAAAGAGCCATCACCCGCACACCAGTCCGCTCATGGTGATAAGGCGCCTGTATCATAAAACCTCTTATCACTATTGCGAATCACTGCCATAGAATTCATAGAAAATGCAACTTACCCCGAGGGACTGAGACAATCCGATGATAGCGTACTTTGTGGCGGTGTAGACGGGCAATTGTGCGGTCCATTTGAAATCGAAATACTGGGCGATATTCACGAGAACACCGCCATTACCTCCTTGATCTTTGCTCATGAATCGCATCGCCAGACTTGCTACTGTTATCATTCCACCCTGAGATAAATCGAAAGTATTACATAAAATTCGCTGATCGTAAAGTCAAAACGAATAATTCGCGAATTAATTATTCCATTGAGTAACCGTGAATGACTCGATTAATGATTTAATTTATTTATTATTTATCAATCCAATCAATAATTCGATGAGTAATTAATAACTAGTTGAAAAGTATTCAATTAGAGATTAGACTGAGTAATTACTCATCAATCCATTCAGCCACAATTAAATTCGTAATCTGCGAAGCCATCGAGAAGTCATTAGCTCGATGAATAATAAATGAGTGAATTCACTAATTGAGGATTAATACACAATTAATTGAGAAATAGAGTAGATAATTATTCTGGAATTAGTTCAACAGGCAACAAGGTTGTCAAAAAATGGGGTGAACGCGAATGCAAAGTCAATACAAAATTATTAATCGATTGGATTTCAAATTGAACTTACGATATTTACAGCGATTTCGCGTTCCCACCTTCTCTCATCCAGAATTCCAGCGTTGTTGACAACAATGTCAATGCTGTCGACCATCGTCGAGACATGTTCAAAAGCCGCTAAAAAAAAATAATGGCAAAGTGAGAAAAATTTTCAAATATTCACATTGAAAACCGATCGCGTAATTCTTATTTCTCATTCCATCCCCAAAACATTTTTCATTAACGATATTCTACGATTGATTACTATTTAATTCCACATAATGAATAATTTTCTGATGAACATTATAATAGCAGTGCAATGATCACAACTGAAAGGAAGGAATTTAAAAGGAAGTGCCCGATGATATGCGGCCTTAGGGAATAAATACTCTTTCAAACGAACCGATTACGGCGGATGATTTTTTTTTTTATGAATGAGTAAGCGGGAGATTACCGAGGGTTTGAGAGTAGTTGGCTGTGTCTGCATGGATGAAGATAATTTTCCTCTCCCCATAGGACTTGGCAACAGCTTTGACAGCGCGTTCACCAGCTGCAGCATCAACGTCGACGATGATGACAGTATTAGCTCCATTCTGGAGAAAATGATTGACGAAGGAATAGCCAAGTCCTGCAGCTCCACCGGTTATCAAAACATTTTTCCCACAGACTAGACCCCGAATTATCTCCAACTCCTTGGCTTTTTCCTCGGCGGAAGCGCGACGGCTTTTAATAACCGGAGATTCTAAAATTTCATTGATAGATCATTTTTTTTTTATTTTTAATTGATTGATTGATTAATAATCACGCAGGAAAATATAATAACGGAACAATGGCTAGAGTATTGTGTGCAATTACTGTAATTTTTGGAATTAATTGAATTGACGGTTGAGTTTTTTTTTTCGGTGGGGGGTGGGGCTTACCCATTATGATAATAGATTTGGAGTGTCTGGAGGGTATTCTTCTGGAACCTCAGTGAAGACTAAACACTTCTGATGATTTCGATGGTATTTATACTTGACGATTTGACTTGTGCACGCGCCACCGCGTGGCCAACCCCTTCCTCTCGACGAAGACGCGTGATTCGAATGGCAGACGTGCGCGTCCTCGCGAAAAGAGGGGATCACCCTAAGGATTCAGATTGTTCCCAGAAAAGAGTGATAACGAGTGATATAAAACATTTCGAAGAATATCTCTATCGAATTACAAGCGTGCACTATTTTTCTTGCATTCAAAGTTCACTCTAGAACCGCTCGCAACCGGTCACTGAAGCACAGCGATAAGCATAGCGACGTTTCTCAACAAACGCTAGTGATGATTAGCCCATAATTAAGAATATTGAGAAAAATTCCTGAAGAAGATGCGCGTCAAGAGTTTATCGCCACGCGACAATTTCCCCACAGCGACTAGTAGCTCTGGAAATAATTTTTTTTAATGAAATTTCGTGAGCACTTGAATAATGACGCAACGCAAAAAGGATATATTTTTTTACGTCCAGCTCATCGATAATTGAGAAACGGGAAAACGTGAATTTTGGCTTGAAGGGTGTGGAACACCCCTAATCCGTGGAATTCGCGGGGACCGAGAGAAAATTTTGAAATCCATCGACGAATTTCGGCGAATTTTTAAGATGGACCCCGAAATCCGCGAAAGGTCACTACACGCGTTAACACCACGGGGTTATCGCGGGTTCATAATTTTTCTGAAACTGCTGGCGTTGCAAGAGGAATTACCAGCATTTTTTTTTTCTGTTTTGACAGCCAATCGGGTCGCGTTATCGACTCCACTCAATTCCTTCGAATCCCTCCGGTTCTGATTAGGGGAGTTACTGCGGAGTTAATGAGAAATCGTCATCTGCTCTGATGAGTTGGCAGAAAAATAAATAAAGTGGGTCTGAAGTGCAATTGAATGAGCTTTATTGGTACTTGTGTGAGCATCAGGTTCATGCGGGTTAACATAATTTTTTTAAGCCTTTTCTGTATTTTCCTAGATTTTCGATTTTCGTGGAATTATCAAGCGGATGATTTTTTAGACGAGAGTCTCGAAGTCGCATAAATCCGCGTCATTTTGCTTCTGGGGTAGAACGTCTGGAAGCTGGATCTCGTAGACTGGCTGACCATCTTCGGAGACCCAGATGCTGCCATTCTGCGCACAGCGGAGGGCATAAACTAATCCATGAGCGACTGTCTCAACCCTGGAGCGAAGAATAATAATTTTAACATGAGAAAAAAAATTCACGAGCTATACGTCACTAATACTTTTGAGGGTGGATTGTCACACATCCCAAAGCTGCGATCGGAGACTCTGGGGCTTCCAGACTTTCTAGAGATGATCCGGAGACGCCGGGGGAGAGGACTATTATCTTCACTCCAGTCCTCTGGTAGTGATACGGTTGCTGAAATAATTCCTTCTTCATAAATTTAAACTTTCATAAATGAAGGACCAAAATTCGGACGTAGGAAAACATTCAATAAAAAAATTTTGAATCTCAATCGGAATAAAGCAATTTGATTAGGTGTCAATGAGGAGAGTCAATTAATTAGGCTTACAGCTAATGATCTGCTGAAACTAACGACCGCCTGTTTAGTGGTGGAATAAACAGGTAATTGTGGTACTGGTTCGAGGCCCAGGACAGAGACAACGTTGACTACGATTCCACCTCTGCCCCCGAGGTCTTTCCCCATCTGTTGAACTCCCAGAAGACTTCCTCGAATGACAGCGGTCTGACGAGAATCAGAGTAAGAGATAAATTTTTTTGCAACTCAGTGATAAGAATATGAATAAAATAAAATGGGCTATCTCACGACGTTGACGTCGACGGCTTTCATAATGTCAGCCTCGTCTATCAGATCAGTGTTATTGATGAGAATGTCAAGTCCCTCGAGAGTTTTCACAGCTTCTTTGAATGCAGCTGTCAAACATTTTTGAGAATTACACTGTTTTTAATTGAGCATTACATATTAAAAAATTTGACATTTGAATTATATTTGAAATCTTAAATTTTGCATCGATTTTATATTTTATTTTCATATGAGTGTCAGATCTTCGCAGGAAACGTTTTTTATATTATTGTTTAGTTATTCCAGTTTTTACCATCTAGTTCGTTTCTAGAAATGTCACAGGCGATCCAGATTACCCTCTTCTGCCCGAACTCTCGATTTATCTCTTCAACGGATTCTTTAGCAGCCGATTTTTCGTCGTCCAGGATAACAATACTCTAGGAAATGATTATTCGATTTCAATAACTGCCTTAGTGCCTGATTTTCATGCTTTTTCAGGCCGCGCCTTCGAGAAAATTCAGCAGAAAAAAATAATCACTAACAATTCTATTGAATTTTTATTGGAATTCATTGGATTTTTAATAGCATTTTATAATTTCGAAAGATATGCAGTAGAAATTCAACAGAATTAGAAAACGCTGGATTTTTCTATTGAATTTTTCCATACGTGACGTATGAAGATTTTTTCTTACTCCTGCTCCATTCCTGAGCAATTCCCGACAGAACGCAATTCCCAATCGGTCGACTGGGCCGATGATAATCGCTTTTTTATCCTTAATCTGCATAATTTCCAATGGTATCACTCAGATCATAAAAAAAAATTTTGAATCAGCGCGATGCCACGCGCGTCTTGCTTGTCCACTAAACACTCGTGCACTGATATCTGCCCCCAGCTCCAGTGTTTTTGACCGAACCAATCTCCTTGACCCATTCTTTCGCATATCGATAAGTATTTTCGCACAAGTGCATATTCATTCTTTCTTAATCATGGGGAATAAATAAAAAACATCACGATCCAACAGCATTGTACAATTTAACAGTTTATTTGAAATGACTGAATTACAAATTACGATCTTAAAGAAACAGAATGAAATAATAAAAATTTTGAAATAGACAATGAAAAAATTCAAATTCAAAGAGATCAAGATCCTCGAGATTTCGTAAGTGATCCATGAAAATAAGCTCGAATATTCAATGAGCAAATAAAACTTTTCCTCCATCCCATAAACATCTGAAAACAATAAATAAATGACTAAAGTTAAAGTACATGGTGTTGATTTTTTAATTAATAGTTCTCTTATAAAGTTTCTCTCTATTACAATGAATAATCTAACTCTATCAGGTAAAATTGCATATTATATATTTATTTTAGTGTCCAACTGATGGATCGAGGAACGCGCTAAACGTGAATGAAAAACGAGAGCCGCTTTGAACAGTCACGTTTTATAATTTATTCACCTGCAATAAGTCATATTTTTTTAAATCTTCTCTTTTCAGATCTGGAGGGAACAACAATTGTTCAATTATCCACAGGAAACTAAAAATTGAGCAATGTCAATCACACGAAAACAGGGCGATTCCAAAGAATAAAAGGGCATCTAAATTGTTGTAAATAAATCGAAAATTCAGATACCAATGTACAAATTATTCATTAACATCTTCTCAAATTCGATCGAATGACGAATGATCAACTCTAGGGATAAAATGGAAGCAATTCCACTGATTTACATCATTTTTCAGGTGTAAAAATAGAATCTAATATTTTTTTTTTGTTCGCCAAGTTCGGGGAGCAACCGAATCGAATGGGAAAGGAATTTATGGTTTATGAATCTCATGATCAACGCTCATTTCAGCTGGAAATTTTTCTTCAGATATAGTTCTCTAAGGAGGCTTTGGGGCTTTAGATTTTTCATAACTATCATTGAACATTATCTCCTATTGCAAAAATTCGAATAAATTTATCATCTATTTTCCGTTTTGTTTTAAACAATGGACAAGATTTATTGTCTATTATATGTTGTTGCCCTAGAACAAGCTCAAATCGTGAATTCATTTGGTTTCTCTTACGCTGTTGACTCTTTTAAAACGTATAAAAAATCAGGGGCGAGTTTATCTCGTCTCCGTTCAAATACAAACGAAAATTCAATTCAGTAGTGAAGGGAAAAAACTTCACAACAGCCCAGTGGCTGTGATAAAAATTTTCCGATCATTTTTTCGTATCAAGTGACTCCTCTCCGAGGATTCCTGAATAATAATAATTTAAATGTTTTCCCTATCACTACTGGATTCTCCTCTTGGGAGGCAAAAAACACCTCAAATGTCCCCTCAAAAATCACTTCTCCAAAAATTGTCACTCAACCGGGCTCATGTGCGTATTAAATTTCCTATTAATAACCCTCTCATCCCCTAAAATCACTGCATATCTGAAATTTAAAATTCCTCAATATCCACTCCACCCCCCATAACTGTAATTCTCCCATTATCAAATATTACAGCATCAATTGGTGTTTAGTGATTGCAACTTGCAAGTCTGAGACCTGAAAATCTCTGAAAAAAGAAAATTGTGTCTTCCCTCACCCCTCGATGATCATCGATCCACGAGAACTTTAATTACTGGCGAATTAACACTCATTGGTCCAGCAAGAAACTTAATAACATACTGCAACAAGCTTAATCCCTAACATGGCAATATGATCTCCCACTCGTTCCCAAGATTATCATGAATTTAGTGCATCGTTATGTCCTCAACAAGAATATTCTCATTGAATAATTAATTTGGTATATCCATTATATACAATTACCTCAAATCTCAATCGAGACAATCGTAGTTACCCAGACAAAGTAAACTGAAACCTCCACGTGAAAAATTAATTTACGAAAATACTGCTCTGGCTAACTCAGTCAAAAACCTATAAATTCATTAATTCATTTGGCCTGAAAACTAATTATCCCATTACTCGAGCAGTCTGCACTGACCTAAATAACGAAATAAAATGATGAAAAATGTTTAGGAATTTCTACGAATGTTCAAACCCTCGCACTGTTAGAAAATTTCCCTTTAAATTTTCAAGTAAAAAACCATCAATTTTTAGTAGCGACTAATTTTCATCAAATCCTCATGAATTTCGTCATCGACGAGGATAATTGCGAGGAAAAAATGTCTATGAGAAATTCCCTGAAGGATTCCATCCCAAGTGGAATTCAAATTCTCTAAAAATTCCCCACAGTGCAGGGCTGAGAGACTATTGTACAATCCCACCTTCTCCTATCACAATCCCTCGACTTGCATCATCGAGTACTACCCTTCATAAATACACGCGGAAAAAAATCCATAGAAAATCTAAATAAAATCCAAGAAAAAACTTAAAAATCAATGCCCATCGATTCTTATTTCTCATAAAAAAAAATTCGCCAGCAAAACTGAAATACAAAAATTAATATCTGCAGACATTTTTCAGTAACCCAATGGTTATTTGAACCTGAATTGTGACGTAGCATAATCTTTAGAAAAATTCTCTTCTATAGATTTTCTAGAAATTTTTTTCACACGTGCAGCCGAGAATTGATAAAAAAATCCCTTTGATTAAATTGCTGGCAAAAAGATTTGGTAAAAACATATCTAACACACGAGGCTCTCAGCCTAGTGTGTTAGACGCCTATTTCATATTTCCTGACTATTGACAGACTGAGAGCTGCGAGAGGTCTTGCGACTGACAGGCTCCAGATAGGCAGCTGGTGCCCAGCCCTCGATTCCAGTACCAATGAGTTTGACGAACCACCAGCCAGCGCAGCCAACCTTGAGCAGCTCCAGGTGGTCTCCCTCCCTCATGGTCACCTCTGACTGGCCCACAGCACAGTAATCAGCTAGTGCCACATACCTGCCTCCTGGGGCAGGTCCTGGATTCTCCGAGAAAGCGTCCTCCTCATCAGTGTTACTATTCTCCGAGCTCCAGGCTACGTCCTCTTCAGTAGACTGAGATACGTCTGTTATGTGGGATATCACACTATTTCCATCGACCGAGAGAGTCCTCAGGGATCCCGATACACTGGACTGTGCCTCCCAGGAAATTGTCTGACGAAGAGGTCTGCAGAAATCAATAAATATTCTAATCGTTGTCAACGTGACTGATTGATGTGGCAAAACGTAAAAAGTCTCAGCAAAATCAGGGAATAACCTGGTGAGAGGATTTTTTACGTGAGGTAATGTGATTTTAAATTTTTTCACTTTTCAACCAAATGGCGCTTGGAAAATTTTTTAAAAAATTCATTATTCACGCAATTATGAAAATTCCAGGAAAAGGTGAACGGGTCTGAGTTACGGAGCGCCCCGCGATTCATAATAAGCGTGAACTAGCCCTCGGGGTGTGATTTTTAATTTTTTTCACTTTTTGACCAAATGGCACTTGGAAAATTTCAAAAAAAAATTCACCATTCACGCAATAATGAATATTCCAGGGAAAGGTGAATGGATCTGAGTTACGGAGCGCCCCGCGATTCATAATAAGCTTGAACTAGCCCTCGGGGCGTGATTTTTAATTTTTTTCACTTTTCGACCAAATGGCACTTGGAAAATTTCCAAAAAAAATTCACCATTCACGCAATAATGAAAATTCTAGGAAAAGATGAACGGGTCTGAGTTACGGAGCGTCCGGCGATTCGAAATGAGGGTGAGTTGGTCCTCGGGGAGTGTTTTTAAATTTTTTCACTTTTCGACCAAATGGCGCTTGGAAAATTAAAAAAAAATTTCATTATTCACGCAATAATCAAAATTCCAGGAAAATCCACTTTGTTTCAATTGGAATGAGACTCTTTACGTGTGGCCACTTCAACATTTCGAGGCTTCAGAAGAGTATTAAAGAAAAATCGAATCTTACGCGTACTTATGATTCGATTTAGCCAATGCTGTATTCTGTTTCCCTTTTAATTCCGCTAATTGTGACATAAGAACACCTTTGATCTGTCGCACCCAGGACTGCTTGACCTCCAGGCTTGTTGCCTGTATCGTGTGGACCTCTTGTCTACCCTGGAGCCATATCTCGAACCTCCTCGTGTCACCTTTCACTGACTCCGTGAGGCCTATCTGAGACATCTGTAAAAAAAATCCAGGTAAACACCCATTGAATCATTCAAATAGAAACTCTTAGTCGATTCACTAAAAAGTTTGATGAATTTCTGTTTGAGCTGCATAAAAATTCTACTGCAATTTTAATTAAATTCCGGCGAATTGAATTTAAATTCCGAAAAATCACAACGGAAAAATAAAATCTATCAACTTTTTCATTATACAATTTTGAAGACAATTCTGCAGTTCTAGCAGTTATTGAACTGAATTTCTCGAGAAAACTAGTTTTTTTCTATGAAATTTTCTGATACGTGAAAGCCCATTTGTCTTCGTTGGCGAAATGGGAGCGTTTGGCTGGAGGCCCTTGGGCGAGCGCCAGTGGCAACCGATCTCTTTAGAAAACAAATAAATCGAGCGGAAAGTGAAGCCCAGGGTCATGAAAACAGTGAAACAGCGCATGGAAGTGAAATTGGTGAAGCTAATTATGTAACGTAAAACAGTCACCTTGAGATAACGCTTGAAGTGATAAGTTGCTTTATTATGGGCCTGTGGTTTGCTGTGTTTACAGAATATCATGGCCTTCTCGTAGAGAAATATGTGTCGCTGGGATGGCTTGAGTCTGAGGAGACGTTCTCGTTTGCTGCTGCTCCATACACTAAACGATCCTTGCAGTAAAAGTTCTCCTTGAGCTGTTAAATCTCCCTGAAAAACAGGATATTCTAATGCCAAAAGTCGGACACGACATAAAATACAAAAAAAATGAACATTTGTAATTTATTTGATGTCTGCGAGAAGAAAGAAATAAATGAATCTCGAGTAATAAATCAACATTTAAATGGCATACCCCAAATCCAGTGATTGCTGTCTGATGCATGCTGTCATTAACGCACTTGAGTACCACGAGCATGCAATCCAACGCCTCCTGCAGTTCTGTGCAGCATGCGGGCTCATCACTATATTTCAACAGGTCCTTAAGCAAAAGCTGATACTTTGTAATTCTCTGAACTGGTTTGAGAAGATAAGCAGCAAGTGGCAGCTTGTGGCCGAGTTTTTGCTGACAGGCAGCGAGAAATTGGGGCTCGCCCTGGATCTGCTCACGCAGTCTCTCGGATCTCGGTATATTTTGACAGTAGTAACTGTAGAGGCGAAAGAATATCTCGCGTCTCTGGACGAAGCAGAGTGCGACGAGTTCTGTGTTGGAGATGCAATTCTCGAGATCCCGGAGAAATGTCTCGCCGTGAAAGTGATAGATCTCCTCGAGATTGCCGAAGAGTACGTCAGCCTTGCCGATTAGAGCAGCAGGGATGAGGTGCATCAGGGCTTCATTGTTCATTTCTAATTTGTAACCCTTTATTATTGATCCCAATTCCGCCACGTATGCACGCTCTGTCTCAACTAATTCTGTTAGGACATGCCCACGCTTCAGGCGAGAGGCTTCCAAGTCGCGGGGCTCACTCTCTGGAGAAGAGGTGTCCTCGATAGAACCCATTTCCATCTTTAAAGTGAATGAAAAAGTTTTTTTTTCAAGTGAAAATCAAAAGTAAAATCAAAACGAACCGTCAAATGTTGTCGATTAAATTTAAATAATCGACTAAATGTATTTTCTACTTTCCCCTTTGTTTTTAAAAAATAAACAGCATTTATTATTGAATAAATAGAGTTAATTACCTTTGGCATTGTATTAGCTTTCTTCAAAATTCTGCCAGGTTTTATATTCGGCGAGGCTTGAAGCGGTTTAGCTGGCTCTGGAGTGACGGTCTGGACCGGCCTGGCAGGTTTCACCAGCTGCTGCTTCAACGTTACAATCCTCTTCTCGCACATTAACGAGACATCTTCGATCCTCTGAAGAACCTATCGATAATTACAACCATCATCATCGTGTATCCATCATTCCTTTCATTCCTCAGTTCTCTATTATTATACCTGAGTAACCAGGGCCTTCGTCTCTGGCATTATCGAGTCTTGAAAGATACACCTGGGATGATGGAACTCTTCGGATGCACCGATCAATTGCTCGAGCTCTTGCAGCGCCTGCTCCGGGGGCATTGTACTGCTCTGCGAGGCCAAGAGTTCAATACCTCGGGTGCACCATGCGTTCGCCTATTCCATGGATCCAATGATCAATTTTAAATTCATTGAATTCCGTAACGAAAACTCAGAGGAATACCAATTGAAAATAATCGCCTGAGAGTTTCCACAGGTATTCTTTATCAATGTGAATTAATATTCATTTAGCACTAACTGACATTTTTAACTGTTCTTTTTAGGAATTCCTCATTAAACATTCTACGAGGTTCTCAGCATTTTTTTTTATATTCAAGTACCTTATCAATCCTCTCCATCAATTCTCGACACTTGGTGAGCGTATGGAGCCGTCGCTCCAGTCTCTGGCTCAACATCGTGCAGACTCTCTGCAACTCCGCGCACTTTGGCTCAACAACTTCAGTTGGACACTGATGCCTCCCCGAAAGCAACTGCTGGCCAGCAGCTATTACCTCCTCAGCTCGATCTATGTCTCCCTACAAATCAATTATTTAATCCACTGCGTTTCAAGTGCAAACACGTATGAAAAAATTGAATAGAAAAAACTAGCGCTTTCTTTAAGAAATTTTATTGAATTTCTATAAGAACATTATAAGAATGTTTGTCTGTTGAAAAATTCTTATGATTATTTATTCTTGATTTTTCTTGTCCCAATAGAAATTCATCAGGATTTCTTAGAAAAAGGCCTAGATTTTCCAATTAATTCTCCCCATGCGTGAATTCATTGATTCTGCAGAGAATACAGCTTCTACAATAATAAAATATTCCGTCAAGCCCATTTATTATTTCTCATCGAGTTAATTGGAAATCAATAAAACGAGTCAAGCATCTGAAATGAATCTATCTTTCGTGCACAGCAGTTTAGCTATGGAAATAAATGATTCCTCGCCATGCCAGCGAATTAAATCCCTATTTGTTACATTCTATTGCATGAATCAAGTTGAGAGTCTTTCAACAATTTTTCGTTGTTGAAGGAAATCATCTGTGAATAGAGATTTAAATCGAGAGTTGCATTATTTTTAAACCCAAATATTTTTGATAAATACATTTCGACAGTGCATTATTCAATTCAAATGGAAAAATTGCATTTCTGTAATTATTGCTCTGGAGTCATGGAACGTAATGAATTGATTTATCTGAAAGAGGTAAAGGGTAACAGGTGGAAAAATGGATGTTTTCGATGAATATGTCTAGAATCCAATAAAGACAGTAAAATTTCAATGAAAACCTTTTCGGCAGCTCTTGTATGACTGAAAAAGAGGCCTTGATAAAAAAATTCACGGTCTTTTTGATATTCAGAGATGTGCCCCGAAAACTTGATTGAGGAACAAGCAGATTTGTTATCCTCTCCCCCTTCACTCCTGCATTAATCCGCAGAATGTGATACAGAGGGAAAATGTGAGATCTCTCTCCATGATCCCGAGAAAAATTCTTTACTTTTCACCCTCCAATAGCAGATTGTGACAGCCACAAAAAATGTCAAAACTTCTATGAGATAGAAATATTAATTTTGTTGAATTCGCTGCTTACCAAGACCCAAATCCACATGGTATGCAACAAATATGACTATCGACAAAAACAAAAAGAAAAAAATGGAAAGCGGTGCAAAAAATGTAGAATTCTGTGCATTTTATTGTGCATTGTATGTATCACCGCTCTGTAGTATCAGAACCAGACGATTAACTCTGAATAAAATATCCACTGTCTGGTTTCGATGCCTGAGAGTCTGTTGCATTATCTTTTAGATTTCGGACGACTTCATTATGAAATAGTATGTCTCGAGAATGGAAATGATGTGTGCAGTTTTGGGGATAAAGGAGACAGACTTACCCTGCATATTCGTTGGAAAGATGTTGTGTCGCGTATCAGTTGCTCCACACGTGACTGAGTTTCCCCAACTTCCGTCATTTCATCGATACTCTTGAGGTGCTGATCGAGATTTGCCTGGAGCTCACGAAAATCCTGTTCAAATTGACGGAGGGCTAGACAATGACGTAATCGTGCACTGTGGTGAGACCAAAAGAGGTCAAATGTACGCTCTGTCTCTTCTAATTGCACTAACAGTCTGGGGAATTAAGGGAAAAATGTTAATTGACCGCTTGTGATTTGTTGGATCGTTGCAGATGCATTCTTTCAACCGTCTCCCACTCATTTCACATTCATAATGAAACACTTCCTTTTAAATAATTAATGTTATCTTTCCCACGGCATTTTTCGCCATTTCTCATAGCAACAACAAACGAAAATTCAATCGAAGATTTCTGGATTAAATTCAATTGAAGATAATCATCTAAAAAATTCAGTAGTAAATTGGTGAAGCGCGATAATTCGGTCTTGTTATTTGTCTAAATAATCGAATCATTTGAAATTTGCCGCAGAAATGTAATCCGGCATTTTTGTAGCGAATATGATTTTTTTTTTTTCGACAACGCACCTTTCGACTGCCGCAACGTTTCCCAACCGATCGGCAGTACCTTTACCGGTCAGTTTCCTGACACTGTCTAATAGTGCCTCACCGTGTTTTGCAGCACTCAATATCTCCTCTTTCAATTCATTGTACTCAGCCTGCTGCTGACTCAACAGCCTGGTGGTGGCAACCGTATTATTGGGGAATTCAACCTCTGCAAGCCTACGTGTGAACGAGTCGAGTGCCACCGAAACGTCTTGGGTCATGGATGAAAATTTCTCCAAGCTCTGCACAAACCCATCGATAAACCAAAAATTGCCCACCGAAATAAAATGAATATTCTATTTTTACTGACTCAGCTTACAATTCGATTCTGTATCCAGGTGTGATGGCAGTACGGTAAATCCCCTCCAAGTTGCTCAGTTAATTGATCCTTGTCGATGAAATCGTGGAGTTCATTGACATTCGCCAGGACAATCACGCGGAACTTGAAGTCCTCGCGGAAGAGTTTATTCGATACCTCGGATATTGCTTTCTGGAGGAAACCCACGGGCCTCAGGACGTACGCCACGTGCACGAGACCGGGAAAATACGCCTGTGAAGGATTAACTCACGTCGTTAAAAACAAAATCGCAGAATCACTCGACGTCGTTTATTTTATGACAACTCACTGAGATCTTAAGTAACACTGTCTTGACCGAATTCCACTTGTCGGTCCTACGGTCGATTATCAAATGAAACCCGAGATCTGCTTCTTGTAATCTGTGAATTAATATTTGAGGTCATTATGAAATTCCATTTGCCAGGGATGATCCGGTATTCGGCCAGTGAAAGGAGATCAATTGAGAATTAATGGCGTTAGCACCACAGTATCTTCCGGAGTTTATTCAGATAATTTTTATCCTCCTGTATTCGACAATTAAATTAACTCCATCGATTTTATCCCCTCAATGGATACCCAATTTTATTACAATGATCCCAGACTGCAGTCAATTCAGACTAATTTAATTCGTTATAGTGCTCCATTGATCATTTCTCATTTAAATTAATTATCTTCTCTGTAAATCAATTTTTAGACTGCATTCAATTTTTCACCGATGAATATTTTCCAATTAGACGATTTGTAACCAATTTATGTGATTGATTGATCCGATTAATTGAGAAATCAGCGTAAATTGGGGAATTTTTATGATTTTTATTCCAGAAAAAATTGAAATTTTGGAGTGTGATGCATTTTGAGGATTGAATTTTTCTAATGCGATGGAAAGGCATGAGAATTTTTTAGCCTAATCTCCGGTCCCGCAGCATCCGACAATCGGATTAATTCCACCACTTAAAAGTCACATGAAATGTCACTCACGTTGGTACCGATGTGAGATACAGCATAAGCCGCTGATAATCCAGATCCGTCAAATTGTGAAAATTTCCATTATCCGAAAACGTGATAATAGGACATCCCTCCCTCGTTTTACCACCTGCATAACAAGAGACGACACTTGAATGAAAACAAAAACTCACCTCACAGCATTCGCATTAAACGTTCACAATGCACGTGTGAGGAAGCGGGATAATCACAGCATGTGGTTTTCCCACAACAAAAACATGACATCCTACTGGTGTTAACGACCAGTTAAAGAGTCCATAGCCCTTCAGACGTACCCCGGAGACTGTCTGATGTGAATGATGATAAAATACCTCTTCCCCAAAAGCCCGTGTAAGAATTTCGATCACGCGAATTTAAAAAAAAAAAACTGGACTAAGAGTTTTTGGGGGACAACCGGTTTGTAACGGATCCCCTTTGACTCTGTCTGATTGGAAAATAATTGGAGACACTGCAGACATTTGAAAATTCTCATTTCCAGGTCACAAGGGGACAGGCAATTAATTGTTTAACCATTAACTTTAATTACCAGTGATGATTGCGTACTGGGGCTGGAGGAGATCCGCGACATCGCGAACAGCCAGATCTCCGTTCTCAATCTCCCCTGTCATACTCTCCACATCCTCTGTAATTAAAATGTATTCCACCAATCACAACTTTAATTATAACTCAAAATTATACATGACAATATTATAAAGTTCAAATCAACCGCGAAGAGAAAAAGTGTAACGAGTCGATTTGTTCCCTACTCGAGTCGGCGAAGAATATCTCAGGATCTAAGAGAGATAGCGAAATTCTTCTCAGAACCTCTTTGGTGGAGTGGAACGAGAACAAGAAAAAAGTTCCTATAAATATTTTCCTATTTCTCTTCGATTAAGAGATATTTCTTGAAAACGCATTTATTAACTAAATCGGTTCGTTACCCTGAACTTCTTCCTTATCGAAATCATTTTCTTAATTATCGATTTACCGTTACAATTATTGATTCAATGGGGAAGCGTTGCAGGACTTTTTTGTAGATTATTAAATTTCCGACAAAAAAGTCCTTCGGTATTTTCCGCAAAAATCGAAAGTTATCAAGATCAATCGAGCTTTAATAAAACAGTAAAATTCGAATTATCCCGTGCTACCACTGCGCTGGCGAAATATTTTATCTGAACCGGAGAATAAAATACAATATTTTATTCGGAAATCCTCCCGACACCCAGATACTCCGAATTTAATCAGGATGAGATAACAGAACTCATTAACTTTCACCACTCAGCAACAAAATTATAAAAAGCTGCACATTTTCTCATTAAATCGAGTCACCTCTCCCTTCCCCGTTGGATTACCTCTCGCAGTAATTGGGTCTGTGGTTCCCGATGAAAATAAAATGCAAATTGAAAGCCACTCCTGGAACGAAGGTACAAGTGTGGGAACGAGATACCGATCGAAATTAATAGTTCCTCTCGAACAACATAAACGTTATGGTGAATGTTCGAGAGAGGAAGGTATCACGGATTGCGGCACACGTGTGAGTGCAGTCCTCTTCAACTCTGAAGACACACTGGAGGATTTGTAAAAGGTCTCAACCCCACCGGGATGCACTCGAGTGACCTTGCTGATTCCTCCGTGGAAAATAGTTTTCTTCTTTATCCGCCACACGAAATTGCAGATATAACTGTAAATCGAAGAGGCTCTCAATCGAAATGTCGCTGATCTGTGGGTCAAGGATCGCATGAACCGTTGGGTTTGGGTTATCGAGACTGAATGAAAATGGCAATTATTAACATTTTATTCTGACTAAAGCATCCAGGACATTACACACCTCTGATATTTACAATTATTCCAACAAACAATCTATAATTATTCGCAATCATTAAACAGACCAGAGAATTCAGCTCATTCTTGTTAATGAGCGATTTATATCGGAAACTGTCGATTCAAAGTGAAAACACTTGAAGACTTTTTTGTAGGACCTCTTACCCCTCAGCCCAATGAAATTGTTACTCTTTATCGGTTCGCTGTGAATTGTTCTCTTTGATTACTCGAATTTCTTTGGAGACTCAAGGAAATTCGAGGAAATCCGCACAATCGGAGAAAAGATGAGAGACCCTGGGATGAATTCACCATCTAAACTGCATGTCTGGTAGCCAACCAAGTGCAGGATGATGTTGCCCTGAGGTGCCTGACCTTTTCTCATTATGGATTGTTGGCGAGTGTGTGGGTAACTGTATGTGTACCGTTTAATCTCAACTTTTCTCCAGTCGCTGAATATTCAGACGTGCACCGAGTATGGTGGTAAGAATAGCCCCCATGAACGACACTAATGACAATTGTTATGCGCTGATGGATGATTACTGGTCATTTATCACAATTGTTTCATTTGGCTGTAACAGCACGAAGAGGAGTTTCTCCTTCTCATCGTGGTACTTGCAGTCTCACCTCTTAATTTTCTACACTTACTAGAATACGTAATGGTAAATAGTAAGTCTTAATCAAGGTTTTTAATGCGATACACAATATTCTACTGTACATTATTCGGTATTGAAGGTTTCACCGATTTGAAAAGACATGATATCTTAAGTGAATTATTACCCCAACCGCCGGCATCAATGTCCTGATGCAGCACAATTTGCCGTTCAGATTGATTTATAATCTTTTTTATGATCTCAACAGCTTAATAACAGGAAAAGTTAAGTCCCAACATTTTTTATTCGAGTAAAAGTGAAGTTTCAACGGTTAGCTCTATACGTAATTGCTTTCTCCTTTATATCGAATTAAAAAATTGCGGAAAAGTCTTTTCTGTTCGTAAGCTATCAATATATTTATGACAACTTTGCTAAAAATTCTAAATTTTCCTCATAATTTTTCTACTGTGAGCATAATAAAAGAGCTCATTCAACATTTAATCGCTCGAAAATATACTCCATTCTCCATTGATTCAAATAGTACTGATATTAGTCACAGTGACCGGCAGGCCCGACCTATTAACAATTAACCCACTCGTCAACTGATAACTGAGTCCTTCCTGGAATTTGCTAACTGGTGTTATAAAATAAGCATTACTGCTTTGCTGAACGTCACCTGAGGCGATAACAATTGGTAGCATTTCTGTTCCCTCAGTGACAAATTGCACTGGCTCACTCCTCTCCTCAATCTCCTCGACTTTCCCCTGGCTGACAGCACCAGGCGTTCTAACAACAAACTCCAATTTAGCGAATTTCACCTGGGGAAATTGTACTTTCATGAACCTCCGAAAGGTCGAGTACCCCATGAACTTGATGGAAGGCGATAGTTTCTTGCAATAGTCTTTGTACAAATCGTGAACTGTTTTTCTAGATATCTCAGGTGGAAGATGAAGGGGTGCATTCTTAACGGCTTTAGTCTTCTGCTTGGCTTCCTGCTGCTTGAGGAAATTCTTCAAGAACTCAGTGGCTATTTTGTAGATGTCGAGGGAAAAAGTATTGTGTGGAATTTTTCCGTGATTCCCATGGACTCGAGGGGTGACTCCATGGGTAATTAAGTGTTTTCTTATTCGTTTGATCTGATAGTGTGTTACGTTCTCCAAGTAGAGGAATGCATCGAGGCAGACACGGCGACCCTGATAAACGTATTGTGCACGAAGTCGGCGTCTCTCTGTGTGTCGAGCTGTTTGGTGGGGATCTGTTAGACAAGCCATTGTCACTCCCATCAGATACATATCGTGCTCGGCTTTTGTCAGCTCGGCAATGTTCAGACGGTGGCGATAAACTGCCTCTGGATTCAGTCCTTTGAAGCACTGGTCGTCTTGGCACTCGCAGCCACGCTTGAAGCGATGGAGAACTTGGCCAGGACTGTCCTCCAATCGTGTTGGCTCTTGCTTCGGCGAGCGAACCAGTCGCCCTTTTTTACCCGTTGTTTCATTCCCTTTGTCCGTCACCTGCAATAGGTTTATGGGTTTTTTAGTCTTTATTTTTTTTACGTTTCTGGGAAGTGCTGGAGGGAATGAGGTGACTTGTTTTTTTTTTTCGCTGGCTTTTCTGGGTGGAAATGGAGCAGAACAATTTTCACCTCGAACTCCTCCTCCAAATTCTCAGGGTGGTCCTCTATTTCTGATTCCCCAGGTTCTACCGAGGGCTTAGGCTTGGGTTTTTTCAATTTTTTTAATTTTCCAGCACGCCCTTTGGGCTCTTTCTGCTCCATTCTCAGGATTTGATTCTGCTGGAGTCTGGAGACAGAAAATTCACATATCTATTCACATTTTCGCGGAAAATTCAGGATTCGGTCGGAGAAAATAGAAAGTTCACTGGATTCCAGTTTCATCACTCCATAAGACTTGATATCATTTCCAGGAAATTAATTAATAAAAATGACACGTTCAATTATCCCATGAGAATTAAGCAAAACCATTAGAAAAATAATTCGATGTGATTTGGTCCTAAATATTCTTCCGTTTCTGGGAAATCCAAGGAAGTGAAAAACATCTAATTTTCCATGCTGCCCAGGAATATAAAGTATCATTAAAATTTCAATTTCAAATTGTATGACGTTTCCCCCCAAATGGTATCCAGTGACGCTCCTAAAAATTCCTAATCGACTCATCACAAAATTTCCTTTATCTACATAATTTTTTTTTTGTCCACTACAGCTAACCACCACGAGTGGCTCCTAAAAAAACGAGAATTGTCCATCACGAGAATGAATATATGCCAGAAGAATTAAAATGCCCCTCATGTCTCCAGAAGGTCGAAAGTCGCTAGAACTTCTCTGGCTGACGAACAATTCTCGTCTCTACTGCGTAACAATTGATTCAACTTAACTTACCGTTAATTCCGGTTATTCCTCGTATTTAGCACCAAATAACGGTGTCAGACATGTACAAAACACTAATCTCGATGTGTTCGATTATTTCAGGGCGATTAAGAGGCTCCACTTTGTTAAATATCGTAAATAACAAAGCGAGACGAGTGCACGATATGGCGATCATGAATTCATGCCGCGGAACATAGTGGGAGAGCCCCAGGGCCGTATCAACAATATTTTCATCCTCGAAAACGCAATTCGGCCCGTGAATTTTCCGATTTTTCCCGAGTCCCCAGAAATTTCGGATTGAAAAAAAAATTCTCCACCGAACCCCGTCAATTTCCGACCTGTCATCAATCTAGACAAAATAAAATAAATTATTTGTCTCCATTTAAATTTTTCCAGGTAAATAAAAATAGGGTTTTGCATAGTCTCGGATTTATGGATTATTGAGGATAACAAGTGGTGACTGGTTCAGTCGGTGATTTGCTAAATTGGAAGTAACGAAAAAAATCGTTAAATTCAAGTATTGATTTGCAGAAAATGTTTGTCCGGCCCTGTGTGCACCGAGGGAGGTGCATTGGCGCACAGAGGGGCACGTGTGCAAGTAAACACTTTGAAAAAAACCGCAGTCTCTCCCATTTTTCCAGTTAAATCCTCGTCAAACGCTCAATTCGATCTTGACAGATTGCACAATTCCGTAATGATATCCTCACGAAGCCACTCCTACAGGTCTCATTTACCAGATTTATTCAAAAGAGCGATGAAAAAATACCGAGAAAAATGCGATGAAAACAGATAAGCAAACCGCAGGAGTGGAAAAAATCGAGGAAACAAAATCCTCGAGTTTCTTCCGAAAATAATATAAATACAAACCAGGAAAATGTTTATATATCAAACCACTAACTGCTTATCATCCGCCGATTCCTCATTCAATTCCCAGATAATTTCGCTAATCGCAGTGTTTGATGTTGAAACAAAAAACATTTTTAGATGTTTCTATTTCATGTCAAACTGCTCGTGAGTTGGTCGGAAAAATTGAAAAACGTGAATGTTGAAGAAAATGGTGTACATCCTTAGGGATACCGTGGAATTCATTATTTTTATGTGGCTGTATTTAAAAGGCGTTCTGTAAATCGAGAGGTAATTGGAGAGAACATGAACCAGGCAGGAGACAAACCTGAGCACTTGGTGGAGCAGTGTTGATGACAGGGACAATTGCAGCAGTGTCCTGACTTCCTTCGTACATGTGCACTTGCCCCATCACTTGACATGATCACTCTCACCCCGAGAAGCCCCCAGGTACACTGAGAAAAAAATTATCTCTGCCAATTGAATTTATTAGTATGAAATTTGTCTGACCCATGAGGGATTCATTTTCTCAATTACCTCGAAATTTATTGATTCAACGTGAAAACACTAAAAAAATTTTTGCAGCTATTTAAATTTTCCAAGAAAAGGGTCTTTTGACTTTTTTTTTGAATGGATAATTTTTTGTATTTGATATTTAACACAACTTCGTGAAAAAAAATCTATTCAAACGTACCCTGGCACTTATTTTTTTTTGTAATCAAATAGCGTATTGAATCTGAAAGAGTCTTTACTACAAAGTCAAGGTAGAAATTCCTGCTGTAAAAATAGGTTTTACAATGACTAAACATCACCATAAATGTTTTAAAAACAGGTAATTCGATTCAACTCCTCGGTGATATTTTCTGAAATATCTCCGAAACCAAAAAAGATAATGAAATTACCGTTAAAATATTTTCCACGACACGAGTAACTTGTACTAACTTGGCAGAAATAATTAATTTCCCATATTACCTTGGAATCGCGACGAAAGGGTCAACGGTCGGTTGACAGCCCCGAAACGTCAACCTGTCATCGCGTTCCACCGATGGAATCAACGAAGGTATTGGCATCAGTAAACCATCAGTTGATACTAGTTGACACTAATTGTTACTTGGAATAATGACAATAGCACTGGTGAGAATGACCCCCGGATGGATCACGCTGTCACACAGCGTTGACAGTTCGACGCCATTTTAAGGACTGAAAAGGGGACTGCGCAGGGGAGGACAACTGATAGTCAACCAATCGCGTCATCATCCAGATGTAGTGGGAGCAACTCTGGTGCACGTGACTCAACCGCATGTTCCGCGGGGCAACTTTGGAATCAAGACGGTTCCGGCACTTTTACGATTACACCGGTTGTTATTTCGCTACTCTATCTCGAATTTATTATGCAACACCATTTATTACCACCGGCACTGGGTTTCTGGGGCTCGAAGGCTTTTCCCTTTCTTGGGGAAGTCCAGGATTCTGAAATTCTAATGATTTTTATGTCCCGCATTCTGCATGCTCCACATATGATACCGAATATCCATTACTGCAGGGACTCCGACCGTGAAAAACAAGATAAACTGCGGATCATCATGTTCAGGGCTTTTTATTTTGTTTTTTTATCATCTATTAGCATCTGGGACTGACAATTTGCGTTAATCACCATTTTTTTTTTAATTTAAATCTTAGTGTTGACATTGAGAATTCAGAACTTGAACAGATACTGGGACGAAAAGAATTATGATACTGTAAATTTTGTTTGAAATAAAAATGCACTTGAATTTTAAATTCCGTATGAATTTCGGAGTGAGGCTTACGATCATGCCGTAAATTAATGAAAATCATGGATTTCCCAGTTTTTTACAAAGAGAAACTAGTATCAGTCCCGCAGAAAACTCAATCAATTTTTTAAGCGCAAGATCGCTCAAGTATTTCAAAGCGGTCACGAAAGGATGGACTTGATCCGAAAGTATCTCAGTATCCAAGAGGTCTATAAAACCATTGAACGTTTTTCCAGAGCAGATAAAAGTCCGCAAAATGTTCACCCGCAGATTATTCCACCCCTATGATCCCGAGGTATCCGTCAAAAACAGTGGCTATATTTTATTTGGGGAGTGGAGTAATTTGATTACCCGAAGAATGGTATCGATTCCCCAGGCATGAGGAAGCCCCACCGATGACCAAGACCCCTTATCTGAGAGTTCCCCAGGTGGATTCGATCGGTTTTTCCACCGGTGGATCGATCTTATTGACCAGATGACAGGGTCATGCAACTTACCGGCCTCCAATACCTCGAGGTCGAGATTGCCGCTCCTACTTCGACTGATAGAGCTGCTAGCATGATAATTTCTGTGTGTCTCCTCCATCGCTTTGGTTGCACTCCTCTTGAATTGCTCGAGAAAGCTGTCAATCTGATTCTCAATGGTGGTGGGTGAACTGGCCATTTTTCACCAGTGAAGGGTCAAGCCCAATGTCAACACCCAAAATTTTAACCCCTTCACCCCCGAGCTACATTTTACGAATTGGCCCACGAGTCACTGGTCCACGATGATAAACACCAGTACTAGATAATGTTTGTGATCACCCCGGTGTTGGTTGAACATTGAACAACACAGCATGTTTATCGTGACGGAACGTCCGGAACTGGATCGACAAAGCGCCGACGTCCTTGTGCGGGAGGCAGGTGTCGTGGTTAAGATATAACTATTTTATCTGCAGTGCGCATGGGCCCCTCTCTAACTCACTCCGTTTATCCCACTTCATCGTAAATTGCGCGATACTCTTGCGCCGTGCGTTGAAATACGGGTTAAGAGTTCTGTCCGGAAAGTAATGACTCGAGTCCTCCGATATTCCCTTCGTCATCCCTCCGTCATCCCTCCGTCATCCCTTTGGCTCCAGGGGATGACGTCGTCGGCGAGTATTCAGGAAGTTCTGCATCCACATGGGAAACAGTATATGCCGAATGCATATTGATAATATAAATACAATATATTCTGTCCGAAAATGCAATATATCAGATATAGGGTGATATATATATGTGATATGTGTGACGTACACATGTACTAATATGTTTGCAGTAAGGGTATGCAGGAAAAATAATTATTATTGTAGTACTATGAAGATAGGATGACTTCAATGAAGGTCATACAATTGCGTAGTTTTGAAACATTCGGAGCAAAGAGGATTGACTAAAGTAGAGACTCAGTTCTGGGGGTTTGAGTGACCCCAGCGGCATCGTAGTACCTCACCCCAAGAGAGAGAGGGTGTCACACGCAATGGGAATTTCTACCCGTCAGCCGACTTGGTAACTGCCTCAGTAGCAGTCCCTCTGTCATCGGAATCAGTCGAGAGGGTGAGTGTTATTTTCTGCGTTACGAAATTGGTATTCACTGAAATTTTAGTCACTTTAGTCTACTTTAGTCTACTTTAGTCAATCCTCTTTAGTTCGGAGTTTCAGAAGTGTTTTATTTCATCCCGTGATGGCAGCACTTAATAATTAATTTTAGGGGGCAGCACTCTCCAGCGATGGAACATGTGATTGATGTTTTGGGGATTGTGTGGGGATATGGCGTCGTTCGATGACAGTCTTCCCGATAAATTGGAGTAATTTGACGTGTGATTATGAGATGTAGTGAGGCTAAGGATGCCGGTGGATATTAATAGATTGACTGAGGGATGGTTGGAGCTGGAGAGTGATCCAGGTAGGAAAATCCAGGATCTCCAATAATCTGGATTTGATTTTCGAGTTTTTGTCATTGTTGTGGTATTCTCGGGTTTCAGGACTGTTTACTCTGCTCCTGGAGGATTTCGGGGTGAAGGGAGTCCAGGTTGAAGAGATCTACGACCTTCAGAAGTCTCTCGAGGGCCCAGTGTACGGATTTATTTTCCTCTTTCGATGGATCGAAGAGAGGAGGTCGAGGCGGAAGGTCGTGGAGCAGGACGAGAGCTTCCTCAAGGATGAGGAAATTGTCAACAATATTTTTTTCGCACAGCAGGTCGTTCCGAACAGTTGTGCAACGCACGCTCTACTGTCCGTCCTCCTGAACTGTCCGAACATCCATTTGGGCTCGACATTATCTCGTCTGAAGCTTCACACGTCGGGAATGTGTCCTGAAAATAAGGGATGGGCTATCGGAAATACTCCAGAGCTAGCCTGTGCTCACAATTCTCATGCAATGCCTCAAGCCAAAAGACGCCAGGACAAGAGCACTGCCGTGACAACAGGTAGATTTACGGGTGAAGCCTATCACTTCGTCAGTTACGTTCCCATAAGTGGAAGATTATTCGAGCTGGATGGTCTGAAGCCATATCCAGTGGACCACGGCCCCTGGAAGGAGCACGAAGAGTGGACTGAGCAATTCAGGAGAGTAATAACTGATCGCCTGGGGATCTCCACTGGAGAGCAGCTCCAGGACATCAGGTTCAACTTGATGGCCGTCGTCCCTGACAGGAGACTCGCCATCTCCCACAAGCTCACGATGCTGAAGACCAACAGGCAAATCGTCCTGGAGGCTCTGCAGCAGCTGGTGAAACTCAGTCATCAGGAGAACGATAAGAATTTGGATGGGGAGAAGGAGAAGAGAGTCAAGGATGAGGACAGAGAAACGGAGTTGAATGTTCCTACGGTTAATGTCGAGGCTGATCCTGGCGAGGCTGAGGAGACTGGCGGTCACACCAAGAATGAGGGACACCCCATGGAGAAGGTCGTCATGTGCGCTCTGGATTACGCCACTCCTCTTAGGATTCAAACTTCACCTGCTCACAGCTCATCGAGTACTGATACTTCATCTGAAATTGGCTCTGCATTCAATTCACCCACGCAAGGTAAGTTATATATTATTTTTATTTATATTGTTTAGGTTATTATCGGATCGGAGATTCTCAAACATACCAGTCGATTTCTAGAGATTAATTGATTATTCATTCATTTGGGGGAGAAGAAAGAATTTTTTTCAAAACCACAATTCTGGATAAATACGATTAATCAGACGAATCAAGAACAATTAATCCTGGGGATTAATTTATGTATGAAAATTACTCAACGAACTACTCTGTAGTCCTCACTTAAAACCATAACAAAAACGTTTGGAAGAACATGCCTTCCTCGTCTCGCAGAACATTAAATTATTGGGACAGGCCAGTCTCACCGATTTTATCGTCGCTGAATGTTCGTCAGTGTAACACAAGTGGTAGAATCTCTCTGAATTTTTATCTGGGTACTTCCCGGCCTTCTCGCAGGGATTATTCCTCGGCTCATTTCCCTCATTATCTCGCAGGAGACTTAATTTCTCCACCTGGACTCCTTCGGTAATTTTTCTGCATGATTTGTACTTGCGCTGATCGCAGAGATTGATCTGGGCATTGAATGCAGTGTTCTGGGGACAAGTGAAGTCATGGACCTCAGCTGTCTTTGGTTCGCACATGTAGTACTTCATGCAATTCGTGACATTTGGCAGGCGAATTCCACTGGTGCAGGGGACAATGTCCAGTACTTCGATCTTAACTTTCGCTGACAGGGACTTGTACTTCTCGGGTGTTACGTACTCCCTGATACCCAAGTTACCTCTGATCGCTATTACATTATTCTCCTCGTCAATGACTCCATTCAGGGGAATTTCACTGACTTCTGGCTCATCTCCAGAGGGATTCCTCTCCGTCGTGGTTGAACAGTTCTTCGCCCGATTCCTGTCACTCCTTGAATTTACGGTCCTATTGAAAATGTAATTTCGAATAAATTGCACGATGAATTCGTTTTTCGACATGTCGATCACTGGAGACGGGGAAAAAGGATTTTTGTAGAAAATCACATGAGTGACTCCATCCACTCGCTGTATTTTCTTCTTTCCTACGGAATTCGGGGCTTCTAGCGGGGGCTGAATATTATGTTTCATCTTTTTGAGGCTTTCAACTTCTATCAGGGGAAATGGAATGATCGGAGGGAAGTTACCGAAATTGAAGAAGCCATTTGACTCGATAGAACTCGGATTCAATTCGTGATAACTCGTTTTTGTCTCGTCAATCAACTCCGGAGAATTCGGGGGCTTTGAAACGGTTTGGATGGGCTCCACACAAGTCCAGGTATCCCCGGGAAGGACGCAGAGGCGGATATAAGGTTGAAACACCTGGGGAGCGAATGCAAGAAACGAATTCAGTAGTGAAAAAGTTAAATTGCAAGTTGATTTGCATAATGTGTCCGTTTTCAAGGAATAGCTTTGAATTTAAAGGAGACAATAAATTTTCTGTAATTACCTTTTTTATTATTCGTATTTTACTGAAAAAAATTTGGCTATCTCCGTTAGATTCAGAGATATTCTAGAATGGGTAGAGGTCAAGTCGATTTGTTACTCTTTAGCTGTTCTCTACTGAATTAAATGAAGAGACGAAATTTATGGGAAAACGTGAGTTAAGGGTTGATGTGAGGTACTTACCAGTCCCTCTGGACATTTGGCTGGAGCCCACACGTACCCCCCCTCAGGAAGATTGATGCACTCGTAATAAATGGAACATCCAGTTACGTGCGGTTTTCTTGCCTCTGGACACTTTGACGCAACCGCGAGTGTCAGGGTGAGAAGATGAATCGTTAAAGTGCTCTTCATTGTGTTTTGGTGAATACTGAGGCCTCCTGAGTCTTCTCCTGGAGGAGTCCACGGGACTATTAACACCTCCCGAGAACAGTTAGGGGTCTCGATTTTTGTGATAACTCGACGATTCTGCTAAATGAACGGCGACCTCGTTTTAAACCAAATCGGTTAAGTAAATTTATGAGAGAAATTTTGTTCGAAGGGAACTATTTTAACCGGTGGCTTATTTGCAGCTTGGGGGTGGAATTCTGGGCAGAGCAGTCCTACGTCGACTAAGGACTTTAAAAAATTCGTCGTTATTCGAGTCGCTGGGGACGAGAAGAACGAGGCAGGTCTGAGTAAGTGATTTTTTTTGTTGTTCGCTGGAAATTTTTTTTATCTGGAATTCAATTGATTGTGAGAATATTTTTTTTGCATCACGTAAATCTTCTGTGTCAGAAGTATTTTTTTTTTTTAAATCAGTGACTGGAATTTTTTCCAGGTCGCTCTCTCGGGAATATCAACATAAATGGAAAACGCCTAGTGTCTGACTCTGGGCATCTGCATAAGAAGGTCTGTCTCTCGGGGGAAGTTCGTATACCACATGCCAGGGTGAAAACCAGTAATGGAGATACTGTTACGGAGGAGAAGAAGGTTGAGAAAATTGACTCGAAGTTGTGCTCAAAATATCCAGAGCTGTTTGAGCCACATACTTTTGCTCCCAAGGATCTCCTGGCGTTGCTGAAGAACCTTGAGCACGAAATCAGTATTTGTGAGACTTGTCTGAAGGACGAGAATGACAAGCGGAATAAATATAAAGTGAGAAATATTATTGACCGGATGGAATTAGCATTTCTGAGAAATTTTTCCTCATTGTCTGTTTTTTTTAAATTAGATTGATGACTGTAGGCGGACCCATAATTACGACGAATTTATTTGCACCTTTCTGTCAATGCTGGCACAGCAGGGAAAATTGGCAGAATTGGTGCAGCAACATTTAACGCTAAAAAAACACACTTCTGTCACAGTGAATCGAGTGCACAGGTAAGAGAGGTTAAAGGAATAGATTTAGGAATAATGAATTCGGGTGTTGGAATGATTATTTTGTGATTAATGCATTAATTTCCAGATCTTCAAAAAAAACCGACGCCCGACCTAATGCCTCACGTCGTCGTCGTGGCAGAACTAAATGCAAGAAACGAAAGTGAGTCCTCGATTCTCTGTCGAGTCTAATCTCCAGTTCTACGCGGGTCGTGAACAATGCACTCATAGAGAACACAAGGTCTGCTTGACTTTCCAACTGTACCATCCGGTTTATTATTGTGATAATTTCAATTATCGATCAGTGTCCATACGAATGAATTATCAATTAATTTAATGTTCAGCGTTTACTCAATTCCTATAATTTGTATTACACCGAATTAATTTAGTGGTGATAGCGAAATAACGAAATTGTTGTGAGGACCTTCTGCGTAGCTCTGACTTGGCTTTACAAAAAAAGTCCTGAGAAAAATTCAATTATTTTTCTTAGGTTCAGAGATATTCCTCGCTCGCTGGGGAATCAGCCGATTTGTTATCTCACAATTTACGTCTTCGCTACTGAATTGTAAGGATTTTATTAAAAAATAAATGATAAAATGTGAGGTAACGATTTACTGTCAAAAACATTGAAAATATTTATTTCAATATTCATATACAAGTACACTACACGCTGATATGTCTTTACATCTAGACGCATATCTCGAGGAGGAAATAAACTTTCGAATGCATCGTAAAACTCAACTCCGTCAGAGCGAATTCAATCGAATTAACAGATCTTTCCATCACTCCGAACCCTGTCCCAATCTACATTCATTTACTCCAGAGCCACTCACACATCTCCACCCATAAAACTCATCCCCAATCTTCCAAACTGGGATGTAGTGGTCAGGAAGTCAGATAAGATACCACACTCCACAATAATATCCTCCAATATTTCAAATGTACAAAATGAAAAATCCTCTCTCCGTAAATAAAAGAGCTCAGCTCAGAGATATTTACAAATATTTTATTTGAATAGTAAAAAGCTACAGATGAATCTTTGACAATTCAATAATAAAAACAACGCCCACAGTTTGGATGCACAGATAAAGAGGAGTCGAGTGCAAAAATTTTCCAGCGACTAGAGCCTATGTAATGTACAATTAAACGGTAGTTTGTTCTCGAGTAATTTCACCTATTTCATCTGAATAGATTGTCGATAGCGACTACATAATTTCTGGGTTTTTCTCTCGTTCGATACCAGGCACTGGTGGTTTTTTTTTTAGTTTGTTTTTTTTTTCATTCAATTCTATAGAAATTGGTCATCACTATTGATTCTCGACAGATTGTTTCGTAGATTTAAACGCTCGAGTGAGCAGTTACAAAAATATTCATTCAAAGGCTGAACATGTAAACATTGCAGTTTAATTTTATTCACCAGTCCTCTCGTCATAAATATCCTCCATCACACTATTTCCAATCTCCATTTACAAATTTATTCCGTGCGAATCTGCTTCTACGTTTTTCATTATAAAAAAAAACCAATGTATCCTGTGTTCGTGATAAGAACACTGAAACGGTAATAAAACAGTCTTGTGTTGGGCTCATCGGGGCTTTCGGTTTTTAAATGAATTCATTAGTTTTTTTTTTTCTGCATCAAGACCACAATGTTCGCATTCAAAGCGCCCTCCATTCTATCTTAAAAATGGACAAGAAGCCGTCGATACTCTCCTACTTACAATTTGTTAATTATAATAAATAATTCGTCTCAGGGCAAGGAGAGGAGGGTTAAGGGGTGGGGATTGGGAATTCTTAATAATAATATTACGTAGATTGGTGTATACTATTCTCCATAGAATTCCGCATGTACGATTCCCGTTTATAGACTAATTTAGTACGTTTTACTGATTCTTTTATAATACAGCTGACGATTTCTCGTGGGGGAATTCTATGTTAAATAAATCTCAATTTTCCAATTTCCTGCCACGAAAAATCGTCGATAAAGACATTCAATCGTAATTCCAATAATGTGCGATGAAATATCGAAAACGATTTGAATGATTCAGTAGAAAAGAGATAGAACTAATAGCGAAGTTTTCGAGAAATATATCTGAATCTACGAGAGATCGCGAAATTTTCGCGTTCTCATTTTGCTCTAGAAGAGAGAATCGGAGAAAAATGACATTTCCCTCAGTTTCAGAAATATTCCGCAAAAAATCGGCTATGGAACAAGTAGACTTATTTCCTTCTATCTCTTCACTGCCGAATTCAATGAACAATTTACAAATATGTGGGGATATCTTAGGGACGTCTTCCTTCCTTAATAATTAGATATTCATCTCGTGTACAAATATAAATATTACATATACTCACAGGGCTCCGTTTAATACTTTATACAAAATTCTGTTGATTACGGGCCTTGTTTTCCTTACCAAAAAAAAAGGAAAAAGAAAATAGAGAAAGAAACAATTACACTCGCTCGAACCATTAAGTGGCTTCACCTTCGAATAATCATGCATCGAACTAGCACTGTGGGCATCAAAATATTTACAAAACGCACGAGAAATGAAAAAAAAAAAAAAGTGGGAAAATAACTCAATGAGATTTGTCTCGTTCTTAGCGAAAAACCTAAGGTCAATAATTTGGTTGTAGCGAGTGATAGGAAAATATTGAATCAACCCCCTCGCTGTGAATAAAATTCTGATGGTAGTGTATAGCCGGTTGCGCGATACGTCACACCAACACCTCGCAAAACTCGATTAATTTTCTCTAAACATTAATAACACAATAATATAATAGTACCTACACGATAGAAATGGAGGGTATAATCGAAACAATAGGTAATAAAGAATAAATCCTAGCTCCTTAGACATACGAATGAACGAGAGTGCACTCGAGAGCTCGTCGAAATAATTATATCTAAAATTATTCTCACGAAGGCGCAATCGCCACGACTTGACAGCCATTGAACGGTACATTATCGAGTAAAACCCCAAGGTTGAGTCTTGGCACGACGATAAACTTAAAGAAGTAAATCCATTGGATATCCATCAGCTTCATTGTAGCCCAGAGCCAGCCCCGGTGCTGCTTGTGATGCTGATTGTGTTGCCCTGGTGATTGATCTGTCCAGGAAGTGGATCGCCAGTTTTACCAAGACGAAGAATAGACTGTAATGATGCAACCTCAGAGGCAAGTCTGTCAAGTCTGGACTTGACCTCTCGTTCAGTCTCAGGAACAGCTGTTACATTTGTCGATGGATTCCACTCAGCCCCGAGTGAAATACCAGAGTCCCTCTCGTCGCTGGAGCCCTCATTGTCCCAGGGTGGTGACGCTCTGGGTCCAGGCTCCTGCTTGATACCCTGAAGAGCCAGTAGAGCACTGGCAGCATCTTTGTCACCAATTCTCGACTTATGCCTGAGTTTGTGAGGTAGACAGTTGCCAGCTGATGCACTCTGGGCTGCGACAATCTGCGTACTCTCGTCACCACTTCCTGAGGACAATTCAAAGGGGGACTGGGCTCGTCTGCCCCTCGACAAATTGAGGGCACTGGTGGTATCAAAGTGCATTGCAGGATGGGGATAGGGATACTGGAAGCTCTCAGTCTCTGGATAGGCACTCGTCTCTGGTACGTACAATTGGGCTGGTGATCTCGGTGATCTTGCCCCACTCACCGGCTGATGTATCACCGACGTGTGAACTGGACTCGGTGTTCTTGCATAGAGGAGGGCTGCTGATGGTGGCAATTTGGCCCTCTTGACACTCATCGTTGGCTCGGATGGAAGGGCTGCCAGTACATGCTCAGCACTTATCACTTGATCACCGCAGATGCCAAATTTGTCTCTGATAGCGTCGAGCTGGGCCTTCAGTATGTGATTCTCCTTGCTGAGCTCCATCACCCTCTGCTCCAGTACCATGTCGTTGAAACGCCTCTTCTCCCTCGATCTCTTGGCAGCCTCGTTGTTGCGTCTACGTCTGTCCCAGTAGCTGTCATCCTTCTTGTTGTCGGGAATAAATTCGCGCTGCTTGCGCTGTGAGAAAAGTTCCTTCCTTATGTCAAAGTTTGGGGGGTAATTTTCGGGATGTGTCACCTGCGAATCGTGATGCATCTGCTGTGATCCCTGCTGTTGGCCTTGACCCTGATGGTGATGGTGGGGCTGTGACTGCTGGGGACCCTGTGACTGGCTCTGGTGCTGCAACTGCTGCTGGCTTGGCTGGTGCTGAGTGTGATGGCCCTGGTGGCTCTGGTGGCTCATTGGTAGGGGACCGTGACCATCGTGACCACCATGAGGACCATGACCCGGGTGGGCCATCGTGTGACTCGCTGGCATGGTGCCGTTCAAACAGGCGGTTTCACCGTTTATGGGCGATCCACTCTGGCGGGCAATAAACTCTGCCACCATAATTTGTCTTCTCAGAACATCTGAAATCATAAATTCAAATCAATCCCATTAATTCATCAATCGGATTACCATGTAGCACATACATTATCTCAACTCGAAATTCAACTCGACCAATCAATATTTTTAATTGTTATTTTTTATTATGTATTTCATATATTTTCGGATTTCAGACAAATGGAAATTCAAAATATCGATTTATTGGAGATTTGAATTGAAGATTTTGATGTTGATATTATGGCTCTGTGTGAATTCAGAGGGAATTTTTTAGCCCGAGTAATTGAGGAAGTCATCAAGGATTTTCGTGTACGTGCAACCTTTTTCGAGAAGGTCGGACTCGCCGTGAAACTGATGACATGGGAGTCAGGAACGAGGAAACGTGTGTCACTAAACCTTGTTTATTTTACACATTGATGGATGAGTCATTATAAGTCTTGACTCTTGCCTGTGAATTTGCGAATCAGTGTAAATGAGTTCGCACAAATAATTTAGAATTGAGAGAAAATGGAGTTTTTATGGTGCATGTGGGTCGACTGATGCAACCCGTGGTGAACAATCCCTGGAGATAGAGCACGTGCATTCTCGTGTAGTTATGTGATTACACAAGAATACTTCGCCTTGGAACTCCAAGTTGGAGGGAACCAGAGGTGAGGGGGATCTGAAGGAGCCGTGAGCACCGGAGAGGTGCACGTGCAGAGAGATGATGGAGTATTTCAATTTTATTTCAATGGTACATGGGCAAAACCAGTGGATAAGTCAAGCTCCAGGCATTGATATGTACACGTGTTTTATTTGCGTACTACACAACACCGGAAGTGCGATCATTGCCCCCGTCTATTCTGCGTCAACAGTGTGGGAGGGAACGAGACAAATTCGCGATTTAATTCATTATTCCTTCCATTAGAAAACCATTGAATGCCTTTCGCAAGTGTTTTAACTGCGCAAACCAGCAAAATTCCACCAACGAATGGAAAACTTTGCACCCAGAGGAATTTATTCATCTAGGAAAAATTCTAGTACTGACACGTGGACATGCCGCATATTCATATGGAATTTTCCCAGAAATACGGGAATAAGTCACGCTATATTAGAATTTCAAAAACATTTATTAAAAAAAAATTTTCCCGCACATGAAAGAATGACATTTGAATTATCCTTGCGGAATCTCTACGACAACGTCAGGGTGGAATGTCCTGAGGAGGAAGACCAAAGGCTGTGGTGAATTCTCAGAGTCACTCGTTATGATGACCCAGTGATTGCTGATTTAAAATGATTACAATTGTTCCAGTGCTTTTGGGTATAATGAAACAATAAATTTTATTCCATATGGAATATAAAAGGAGATCGTTAGACGATTGGGTGTTGCGTTGCGTCATCGGTGGTGTGTCAGGTAGCGTTGAACATGCGATAGAAATTATCCACACACATACAACTACCGTCTGTATAACGTGAACCAAAAACCGGCTTACGTAACAACGGGCGTATGTCGGCGCACGCGTACCCTGAGCTGATGACCACGTGCGGATAACCGTGGATTAAACCACCAGGAAAATGCACGTATGCTGATGTGTATTGTGGATAAAAGTGCTGAGGTCTGAGCTCAACGGTGAATGTCACCGTGCATCACATGGTAAAACGTGGAGGAATTATTATCGCGGCGTCGACGAGAGTGTGTGGGTAATCATTTGAGATGCCTCAGGTGAATCCACTGGAAATGGCGATGGTAGCGTTATGTCATGTTTCCGAGGGTAAACGTGCCATCCCGACCTCGGTTATGCAGTGGAAAACAGTCGCACGAGGTCGACGACGCATCGGATTACTCTAGCCAATCGCATTCATCGTAGTTGAATTGCTTAGTCCAATTTGACAGCTCAAGGGTTGATTGCACAAGTTGACTTTTTCGACAACGAGAAGGTGTCATGGGATTTATCAATTTTTCATTTAACGATCGATTAATGTCTCGAATGATCTTAGGGTAAACCATAAAAAATTTATTTCGTCTAAATTTTCATTAATTAAAAAAAATGTTCTGATGAGATTTTCTCGTTACGTCGGTAACGAGTCATTGCGTCTTATTTTCTCAATGACTGCTCGCTTTTCAGGAATTTTTAATGTTAAGCAACTTAGCAACTGCTTCACATGTCTTCTTCAGGTCTCTATCTGGAAATCGTGATGATGAAAATTATTATGTGAGTCATGGGTGAATCCAATGATACTAGCTAGCGCGTCATCTCTGGTGCCTCGGGTTTGGTACAGTTTCCACTGGTTACGTGTGCTGATTTTTGATGACTTTATTCTAATTGCATGAGATTCTGGGAATTTAATGGATATTCACGTTTAGGAGGTCGTACTTGTTTGATTAACCCGTAATGAGTCATGTTTAAGTGTAATTACGGCTCATCGATTTATTTGTGACGCACCTCCTCTTGTTCACTCATTCATCGATTGATTGATCGGTGGAACAGTCATTCATGAAAATTTCATCTCGGCTTTGCGAGTTAATGGGAATATCTGGGGAAAAATTCGCGGGCAAAAGCAGTTGCAGGTTTCGATCGATGGTCTCAGGGCTGACGCATACGGAAAACCTCGACGTGAATTTGAGTGACGGGGTCAGACCAACGTGCAATGTATTTTCCCGGCCTTGATTTTCTTCCTAGAACGGTCGGTATGTTTGCCGGAAACCACCACTGATAACCAAATTGTTGAAATCCCTCATTCATCGATTAAAATAGCCAGAGTAATTGGAACAATTGGGACGATTAAAAAAGATTCAATTATCATGAAGATAAACGTACCAAGAATATAAATTTATTTCAAGACTTGTCATCTTCAGGAGCCTTCATACTCTCAAATTGAATTCCAACATTTTTTAATTTTCCATGACAATTAAAAAAAAGAAGGTAAATCTTGATGCAGAGTTTCAATTCTTTCACGTGCACCGATAAAAAGTGATTAATTGAGCAGAAGAATTTTTTTTCTTTCCGCTGCGATAAAATAGATGCAGACGGGGATAATGAAAATAAAAATGGAGGTAAGAGACATTGCAATTGGATGCGTACATAATGGAGCGAGTGAACCAGGCGGGAGTACACACGTGCTCTGGTACACACGATTGCGCAATACCGTGGACGCACGTGGCGCTTGCAAGCAATCATGCACATGCAGATACATAACAATCTATTCGCCTACGAAGTACGCAGTGACTTTTTCCAACTACGTATTTATTTGTCTCGCCAATCATTCATTTATCCGGGAAAAACTCGGTGGGCAGATGATAAGATCCACGTCACCGCGGGAAATTGTGTGTCCGTACTAGAACGTCCCAGACATACCGGGGAAATGATTTCTGCAGCACGTGGATTGACACGAGCCATCGCTCTTTCTTTATGAATTAAAAATAACTTGAGTTGGTTATTCTGATTTTGAATTATTTAGGCGCACTCTAAATGCACAGCGTGTCATTTTGCTAGTAAAAAACCAATGGTAATCGTTATTTTATGCGATGCAGACGGAACGACGCGTGGCTGAACTCCTAATCACCATTCTATGACCTTCTGGACGATTCAATCGAGGGTGATAAGACCATTATTCCGATCGATTTAATCGTGAAATTTCTCGAAATGGATTTTTTTTTTATAGGGAATTCTTCGGTGTTTGGTGAGCCGCTCGGTGAATAGTCATTGTGTTAATGGGTTTAACTGTCAGTGAACGTTTGATGTATGATACGTGTTTGAAGAATATTATATTTTAATTGAATAGAGAGGCACTAGTTCAAGTAGAGCAAATCACACTGTGACGTTTCTTATCGCTCTGTTTATCGTCTCTCTTTCTCTATTCCCGTTATCTCAGTCCCAATTGCATAATAACGGTCGCGGGAAGTGGACAGTGTGGGTCCGGTTTTTTCTATTTGTGAGAGTTGATGAGAGTTGATAGAAAATAGCCCATACTTCGACGAGGTCAATTGGAAACAACGCGATTAAACATTATTCTGATTACAAGTTGTAATTGAAAATCGGTGTTTGTTCATGTGGCGATGATACGCCCCTAGTTAATTTTCTTACGTAATTTCTCGTAAAATGCGTCACACACCTCGTGATGAGGATTCAATGCGGAAGGGGAAGAGGGAATAATCTGATGTTTAATTCGTGTTGAAGTTTGTTTTGATGATTCGGAGGAATTGCGTTGCCTCATTCGAGTGGAGGAAGTGCTCGGGAATTCTTTGGAAAAATTTCTGGAGTTTTCCTAGAAAATTTCTCATTATCATTATCATCCCCGGAGAACATTTATTGGTAAAAAAAAAAATTTAGTACTCGAGTAACTTCTGGTGATTTCTCATGAACATTTTCTTCTGTGTAACCGTCATAAAATTCATGTGAAAAATCGAGGAATATTCTTGGAGAATTACCCGTCGCGTATTTAGCGAGGAATTCTCGCGAGGTCGATGTCTGAATCCGACTGAAGGCAACATCATCGATTAGCATGACGCAATAACGAGTCATTGACGGCGAATACGTGCCTAATCTTTGCGAGAACAATCAACATTGAAAAACCCATGCGAGCGAATTTGATGGGCCCATAAGTCGGCTGAACAATTAGTTCACACTGCTGATTAGATAAATTTTGATTTACCGAGAACGCGGGTTAAATGGTTTTTCTTCTTTTTTTTTTTTAACCGAGACCGTCAAGTTTTATTACGTATTGCTCTCACTCGAGGCTGTGAGAGCTCTGCAAATTGGGCCGTGGCACACTTTTCGCGGGTGATACGCGGTGGATGGGTCTCACAGGGACGAGAGGTGAAGGTAGGACGATACTTTTGATATCTCAAGCTTTTACGAGACAAGTGGGGAGTTAAAATGGAGGGGATCAGCCCTTCGCGCCGGTTCCGAGAGTCAACATTGATCATTTCTCGTCGAAACGGCGAGCCACGTGTTTCACTCTTTCATTTCAGACTGCTAAACTTTTTTTATGCTCTATCCAACCGTTTCCCATCCCTCGAAAATAAATTTAGTACCTCAAGGAGCTAATTATTACTCATTACCCACCCGGCGACACGCGTCACCAATTTTCCTAATTTCTGTCATGAAATTCAAACGATTCGAGTGAGTTCTGACTACTCCCCAGTTTTTCGGGGATATCTCGGAATCCAAGGCAGATGATGAAATTTTTGTAATAACCTTTTTTGTAGGTCTTTGTCTTTTTGATAATAAAGATTCTGATGCAAGTAGTCGAATATCCCGTAGATTGGGAGATATTTATTTTATTTTAAATCATGAAAGGACTTAGTGGAATTTTTCAGTTGTTGGTCACTTGAATTAACTGTCAGGTGGAAACATTGCATGGCCAATACCGAGAAATTGCTGAATTAACCCTGGGATGAAACCGTACACATCGACTCGGGTTACGAGAGTTCATATGACGCAATGAAGAACCACCAAGTAGTAAGAGCGTGAGTTCCCTCGAAGGTCTCGGTACCCTCACGACCTCCTATTGGGGCACGACGAATTTAAGCGTTAAAACCACAGGCTCCAGTGACCGCAGAGTTCATTGATCCTTGCGTCACCAATGTTAAAAAATAGAGAAGACCGGGTCCGGGGGAACGGGAGGAAAAACTCGAAAAAAAAAGGCCAAGAATGAAGAATCACGTTGCCTCATCATGCCAACGACAAATTGATTATGTCACTCCTGAATAGATACCGACCAAAATCTCTATTCTGTAATAGTAAAGTCCAAAGTCGTGACTGAGTTAGACACGTGCCAGGGGAAACGCGCCTCTTTATCACGTTTTTATTCCTCCAAACACCGCTATCACACACGTACCCCGCAACTCCACAAAACTCCAATCAATCACCCGCTACAATGACCATAGCAGACTAACACTCGTTAACAAATACTCACCAATCGTTAAATTTTTCTCCGAGCGCAATGTTGCGCCGTTACCGAGATCCACTTTGAACCCCTTTTATCGTCGGCGAGCGAGAAAAAAATAGTCTGATCCGTAAATCCACAAGAGAATCAAAGAAAAAAGAAAAAAAAAAAAATCTCCTCTCCAAGTAATCGGTAAAAGTAAACCAGGAGAAGAACTTGGTCACAAGTCGAACAGTGAACTGGAATCCCAGATGACTCCAACTCTCCTCTAATAAATCGTTGAACTTTTCACTTTAAATCTTGTCGTAGCACTTTGTAAATGATAATAATCAATAAAAACGAACGGGAAAAAAAAAAAATAAGAATTCCAAAGCCCTCGAACTTGGCGGGATTGGACACGTCCGTGCGGTACGACGTCGCGCTTATGACTGAACTGTTTGTCTGAGCTCAATGCGGGATAGAGTGGCGGGACTTGTCTCTCTCCATGAGTTTAGTCTCTGGCCCCAATGTCGTATCGCGTGTGATGCTAAAAGGCTGACGCCAACGAGTGTTAGTGCCGCGTGCCCGGTGTATGCCTTCGCGGTACCCGACGTGTTTCGGTGCTGCAGTGGGAGGTGGAATTGAGAATACATCGCGCCCCGTCTTGCTCCGCAGGGTGAGGATGGGGGGTGGTGGATGGGGGGAGGTGGATGGGGGGGTGACGTATTTTTATTTGTTGAGGATGGGGTGGTGGTGGTGGTGGTGGTGGTAGTGGCACTCGAGACACGGATAAGCCTGAAGGGGAATGGAGGGGTTGTGGCAACTCCCCACTCTTGTTTCAGCGTCAGTGTGTGCACCACATCTGGATCCCCACTTTAAATCCAGTACTGCTGCTGATGCTCCTGGTGATGGTGTGCAGCGGGGAGACGCATCGGGAGTCGGCACGGATCTTGATAGTCACCACTCTCGATCCCAGTGGCTCGATCCCCCAGGGACCGAACGGTCCACAAATTACGCGACACTTGGGTAATTGGGAGGGGGAGGATAATTATTTAATGTTTCTGTCGAGGCAGGGGGCATTGCAGATGTTGGGAGAGATGTGGAAATTATGATTTTTTTTTTATTTATTATGATGGATTTGAGAGTTGTTTTTTATTTTGGGAGAGGGAGACGGGTTCTAGCGGGCAATGAGGAGTAATGAGGGGGAATGAGGGGTAATGAGGGGTAATGAGGAGGTAATGAGTAGTTGGCGTGGTCTTGCGTATTTTACTTAAATCTCACGGTTGTAACATTGACGAGTCATCAAGAAAAAGTCATCCGATGACGAAGGGAACAAAGAGGTCGATTACTTTGACGCACGAAAATTTTTGCATTCTCTTCGGTGGATTATTTATAAAGATGATGAGGGAAAATGTGAATGTTGGGGTTTTACGGAAACGATGGGGACGGGGTGCGATGTTTGAGGACGGTGGTATGACTCATGGTAATGATTAAGTGCATGTTTCATTGCGGATCTTGCTGGGAATGTAATGGTCATTATCGTTTTGGGGCTTGGAGGATCTGTTTTCGAATGACCGATTATTATAATCGATGGGATCGGGGGAAGAAAAGATAACGTTTCACCAAAATATTGAAAAAAATATTTATGCTCCGGAAAAACAACAACACTCCAATGCTAGAATAGTACTAGAATTATCCTTGAGAATCTTTCTTCGGGTTTTCGAAAACTTGTGATAAGGGAAGGCTCAAGTGCCATGTGTTTTTTTTCATGGCTGCCATGGGGTTCTGTACCGTTGCCTGTCGTGTCAACAATTACATATGGAATGTACGCCCACAAGATTGGTACAGATAAATAAATAAATCATATATAGGCTGAATTTTCGAAAACCAAATCATTATTTAAATAGTGATTTCATAGAGATGTAAACGAGTATTTTAGGTATTTGATATTTATGAAATTGTACCCGGGTAAAAAAAAAATTGTAATCAGAATATTTTTTCCAAATTTTCAAAATATTTCTCGAAAACTTTTCTGAATTTTTTTTTTATAATTTTTAATTATGCTGTTGTTTTCTTATTTTTTTGATTTTTCAATATTTTCCAGAAATACACCATCGAAATTATAAAAAAAAATTTCCTATTCAAATTTTTGAAAAATTTTTCAAAAGCTTCCCTAAAATTGAAATTGTTTTTTTTTTCAATTTTTTTTTGTTTGTTTTTTTTTGCCGATTGCAATTTTTTTTTTACCTGGGTAGATACTTATTTGGCAAAAAAATTGATAGAGATTGTCTATCAATAGATTATGATCGATTTCTGTATGAGTCTCGTCAGGCTCGTCTCATTTTAGGCCTCGCATATTTATTCTCGATTCGTCTATTTTAGTTGGTATTGGTTGGAGCGCACTCGCACGATAAAAGTAATTAGACTTCAACGAAATGATTAAAAAAAGATTGCATGTACTCGATTACGCACCTGTGCGTCACTATTACTTCGCGCGTGAATATTATACTTTCACCGGTATTTAGTCTTGCCTCCAAGAGGCGTCAGGGCTAAAAAAAAAATCCGCGTAAAGTCAATGGCAGACGTGTAATATGGAAGTCCCACGGTATTTCCACGAATATCTTTCAGACCTTAACCCTAACCTCCGATTAAATGACTACGCAAATGCCAACGGTGAGGAAGCACTGTTGAACACCTTTCCTTGAAATTTCCGTTAAATTACAAGGAAAATTGACTATTACAAGATTTTTCCCGACATTCCAAGACATTTCATTATTGAAATATAAAAATAGTAAACATTGATATTCAATCATTTCATGAAAATCAGTAGAAACCCCGAAATAGTAAACTTCAATTGAAATGATTGTAAAATTAATTTTTTTTAATCAAAAAATTCAAGAGAAATCCGTATTTTTTTTTAACTGGCGGGAATTAATCGTCAAATAGAATTTTCAATGACAAAATAAAAATCAATCAGTTAAGGAAGTACTGATGACCTTCAGCGCAATCTGCCAAAGCGGGTGACAGAGGGAGAGTTCACTGACCACCGAGGAAACAATGTGCGCTCTTTATTGCCCAATGCATTTGCCAACGTGGAATAAACATTTCTCATTATCATTAACATCTTATCGCGAAAGACAAACACCGGATAAAAATGAAACAACAGTCAAGTGGATTGTCGATGCAGCCACGTAACACCCGACCATGACTGTGAAACAAAAATAATGTTTGGTCAGAGGTTTCACCAAAGTCGTAACACACTTAGTGCACCAGGGGTCAGAAACCTCCAACCCCAGCTCAGTCAATCCACCTAATTACTCCCCTTAATTACAACAACAGGGAAATTGGCCATTGCCTCGAAATCCATTCACTCACGCAAAACATAACGTATGAATTACTTCAATTATCCAATAGATCAATGATAAACCGAAATAATAGAATTCATGAGAAAGCCCCGCAAGCCTCTCATAAATATTCAATAAATCTCTAGAAACCTCGAAACATGCAGAATTATTTGACCAGCCAAATAATTATGAGGCAGTTCTTCTCGTGGAGGAATTGAGAAAAGTTTAGCTTGATTTTTAAAATGAAAAAAAAAAACCGCGGTAATGTAATTTAAGTTGCAACTGAATGTACCAACAAAGCGACTAGAGAGTGGTCTAGAGTGACCGGATCTGCACTTTTTCGATCCCCTCTGCATCGGGTAAAAAAAAATCAGGAGCCTACTTGGGGTATCCACGGGTACTTTCATCGGGGCCCGAGTGAAAGCAATATGAAAGTGCCTGATTGCAAAGTAGAAAGGTGAAATGTACGATAAAAAAGACGAAGCGCCCGTTACGTGCGTGTACATGACTATGTGTTATTCCCATTCGACCCATTTGCACATGAGCTCAAACAGTTTAGGTGTCAAAATGATCATCGCAATGCCCTTGGGGATGACCTCAGTCAAGTTCAGATGAAAATAGACCTCTCGAAATATCGTCATTGTTTTTCTTGATTAGTCACGAAATCGGGGGACGAGATCATCACATCAGCGCAGATCGAACACAATCCACCGATTGTTCTTATCTTTCGTCTCCCACACCAACGTTAATCTAACAACAATTGAATATTTATACTCTTAATTCCTCCAATACTAGAATAAAAAAACGCCCCTTCTATTTTCTGTGATTATCTCATTTAAATTTCATATTTTTCATCATTTTTATAAATATCACATAATGTGAGACAAATTCAACAAAAAAAAATCTAGAAAAAATCGCGCGGTATGTATATTTACAAGGTACTACTTGTTTATCTTGGAAATGCTTGTTTGAGTTAATTATAAAATATTGTGGATAAAAATGGAAGGTTGGCCGATGACAAAAATGAGAGAAGACAATAATCGAGAAGTACGTGACTAAGGCCCTCGGACAATTAATTTCCCTGGAGTGTCGAAACAAAAGCATTGGCAATCTTTTCCTCTTCATGCTTTCCGGTGTATGTTTTTCCTTGTTATTATGTATTTATTTTTTCTGCACGTGGATCACGCAGGAATAACCCGAGTGTCGATGAACCGGGCATCGACTTTCTTTCGCGTTGACGCGTAATACATTTCCCGCAATGTACCCCCCCAAATGGTCAAACATTCGGAATTACTGGAGGGATTTGATGCACTGGAGTACCCGATGTATTGCGAATATCTTGGATCGTTAGTGTGAATATTGCTGTGGGAAATTACCGGCTGGGGATTAATGAAGGCTTGTTACGACCGATTGGGAATCGCTGGGGCTAGGAATCATCAGGGAAAAATTATTTGGCGTACGTAACAACTAGGAGTGTTATACCAGGGAGATGACGTCGAGTGCACGTGAGGGAGAGACAGGAAATCCTCGGTGAAAGCCGTCCGATCGTCTGCCGAGGAGTCATTAGTACCGCACATCGTCTGTCATTTTTCATTTTTCATTTTCCATTTTTCATTTTTCATTTCTCAGGTCGCTATTCCTTTTCAGCGATCAAACTAGAATGAGCAATATCACGATTTCATATATTTTTTTTTATTTTTAATTCCATCTATTTTTTTTTATTTTTAATTTTATCTATTTTTTTTTTTTTTCGGATAAACTGTGCAGGGGAGTGCAGGGTAATATGGGCATTATTTGAATTCAAATTGGTGTAGTAATTTTTTATGAATGCACAAATTGCATTTTTGCATTTCTGCATTTTTGCATTTTTGCATTTTTGAATTTTTTGAATTTTTAAAATTTTTTGGGACATGATGGGTTGATATGAGAGAAAAAAATACGAAACTTGAATTTCAATGATTGCAATGCTTCCATCGAGAAGCAAAAAGTCTGTACCACACAGAGACTTTGAAATGTGAATCATACAATGTCGCGACCGGTTGGAAATGAATGTTTAGTGGCCAGGATGACATCCTGAATGGCCGTGTGTGAGAAAACACCCAACAGAGAAGAGAACAAAAGTGACCTTGGTTAATGGCGCGGGTCTTTGATCAGGGTCGCAACTGCAGTGGGGGCCAAAGCCCTCGAGGTCACAACCAATGCGGCGATGACGCCACCTCCACCCC